GACCTGATGAGATTCTTATTTCTATCTTCTACGCCGAAATCCGATGGGTATCTTGTACTGTTGCTCGTACCGTTTCTCGTACCGTTGCTCGTACAATTCCTCGTACTGTTTCTCGTTCCGTTGCTCGTACAATTATGTGTTCTGATCGAGGGGTCACCAATATTATATAGGTATTCTCTGTATCAAAATAACTATATAATTAAAATTTCTTTTTTAAAATTCTTTTATTAAAAAGGTCAAGAACATGTTACTTCGAAAAAATGTCAAAAATAAAAAAATAATAATTTGTTGATGTTTCTTGTCTCTTGGTGTTCTGTTCTTTCTTTTTTTTCTTCCACAGCTATCCACCACACACTCCATTGTTTTTCTACCTACTACACCACAAATCAAAAACAGATGTGACTTCCAATGTCATCAACTTTGAAGTTCTATGACATTGGCAGGAAACAGGATTGAGTCTCATGCCACCACGAAACATTCTAAAGTGCCATTCACATAACAAAATAAAACGTCGAAATGACAAAGTGGAGATGACTGGTTTAAGGTTATAACATTTATCTATCAACGTAATTATGACAGAGAGAAGAGTAATATGTAGTACGAAGCACTACAGTAAGTCAGTACACTTCCCTATGGTTCACAGGGCCGAGAAGAGGTGGAGCAGCCGGGACTAATTCCCGGGGCTCGGATTCAAATGGGGGCCCGGCAACCGTCGTCAAGAGGATTTTCTTTTTCTTTCAGAAGTTCGGCCAAGAGGGGAAAGTTGAAATTTTTGCTTGGGCACTTTTTGGGAGATTCCAAGCAGAGGAGGAGCAAGTTTTTGTATAAAGATTTTTTTGTTTTTTTTTTTAGAAAATTCAAGTAGAGGAGGAAAAGTTTTTGCTTGAGGAACTTTTTTTTTTTAGAGAAATTGAAGTAAAGGGGAGAAGAAATTTTTTATAAAATTGTCACGGGGCCCGATCTGGAAAATTGTCCTGGGGCCCGTCCTGGCTCTCGGCGGCCCTGATGGTACACCGGATAAACAGATGCGTATAATTCTTGCCGTGTGTTCCGTATATCACCGAATATTACCGGTGTGGTTAAAGCGGTTACTAGCGTTTTCAAGACGGTTTCGTTTTTGGTTTTTGATAAGTGAAATATTTACGGAACGCTTCTAAATGTCAAAGGTCAAATCAATGCATTGTTTGTTGGATGTTGATGTTTGCATGTCTTTTATATTTATGAACTTGAACTAGATATTATTTTTTGATGTTTTTACGATTGCTAAAATATTCCTTCTTCTAAAATTAAAAAAGTTCAAAACAAATTTAACTGATATGACACATGATTATCACAAATGTCAACGTCAACCAAACAACCGATGAAAAAGTTTGGTCACTTTGGTGACAGCTGGTACCAACCGCATTTCAGGAACATTGTCCCGTAAATCTACAATTTTCAGGAATTTGTCATTTACGGAACGCGATTTTACTAACCAGGTTAACCAAGGTGATATACGGAACACACGGTTGGTTACTTTTGTACCACGGCCGAGATTTACGTCACTTTTGTGACAGATTGACATTCGAGTAACCGTAAAAATAAAAGGTCTGTTCTGGTTTTGAGAAATAACGATCCACAACTGTCGGGCTCATGCGCAGTAGATAAAAAGTGTTTTGGTTTTTCTGGGACTACTTCGGATCTCTCAGTCCAGTGTTCTGGTTTCGTATCCGAAATAATCCGTGATTGTTGTAAATAGTCAAAATGTGTTCATGCTTGGGAGTGTGGATCGACTCGGACTGTTTTGACCGCGCATGCGTTTTTTAAGTGTTATGAATATTGTATTGGCTTTTTAGACCATACGGAACGTATGCAATCCCAAATTATTTATTTATATGTGGACGAATGTCTCTTGTTCTGTTTTATTTGTAAATTAAAGCAATTTTAGAATTATTAATTTTTTAATATTATTCTGTTTTTATTTATTCCATTGAAATGTGATGATAATGATAAAAATATACATGCAAATGTTATTTGAAGCTGAGCTTTCAAAAGGAACTTTATTATTATAATAAACAATAAACAAAACACCTTTATGTGTTCTGGTTTTCCAACAATTTCAAACAGTCGGGGATTTTTTGCCTTTACGCATACGGTCCGGCGCAGTTTCAAAACAGTTTTCATTTTGAGAACCAGAACAAACCTATAGCGGTTAGTGAACTGACGTTGGAGTCACCTTTTTCAGGTAACCGCGTCCCTAATTTAACCGATTTTTCAGGAATGTCAAACAGAGCGGTTAGTTTTGGACCGAGTAACCGATATTTTTGGTTAATAACGGACCATGCCTTTAGGGTATGGTCCGTTATTAACCGACTACTAACCGCTAGTAACCAGGATTTTTTGACAGCGGTTCCTGAAAAACACTAATTTCTTGGTTACTTTTGGACCACGGCCGAGATTTACGTCACTTATGTGACAGATTGACATTCGACTTAATGGAAACCGCAAAAATGTACCGGTTAGTGAATTGACATTTGAGTCATAATTATCAGGTAACCGCGTCCCTAATTTAACCGATTTTTCAGGAATGTCAAGCAGAGCGGTTAGTTTTGGACCAAGTAACCGATATTTCGGTTAATAACGGACCATACCCTTAATTTCAATCGCGAATTGTTTGACAGGTTATTGAAATGCCGACATAAGTTAAAACTAGCGCTTAAAGACTATAATATCTAAAATATCTTGCTTATTCTGCGGTGAAGTTGAAGTGAAGCATTTTTTAGTTGTTAATATTTTTTAGTCGTGTTTATGTTGTTTATTTATTCATTAATGTTGTGACTACGTACTTAAGACATTAATGTTCCAACAATAAATTATTAAGCCGGTGCTAAGATTTTGTTGAAATGTTTATTCACTTTTTAAAAATGTGGCAACCCTACCTCCGGGTAAAGGACGTCCTTTAATAATCATGCATATTAGCAGTGATACCGGGTTTGTTGAAGGTGGGCTTAATGTTTTTAAATCACAAAAAGCCAGAGTTATCACAAAGACATGGATGCAACTATATTTCAAACGTGGTTTCAATCTATTCTATTTTTGTGTTATTTAAATTTAACGGTGTGGCGATTTGTATTTAATTTTTTGTTTTATTTAAATTTTACAATGATTCGTATTTTATTTTTACAACAATATATACAATTTATTTTCACAAGGACAAGGTAGTCTGAAGTTAACGGTCCATTGAGCGGGCCATAGAGAATCTGGGCTTTAAAATATTACGATCTGACTCAGCTTATTTAATTTGTTTTTGGCGAGGTTTTTGGTAATAATTCCACCATTTTTTGTTCAATTTTGAAGCACTTTTTGCGACTGAACAGTTTTACTATTTTTTTTTAAGATTAAAACAATTTTACGTAATAATGACGTTTACATTATACTTATTTTTAGTCAAAATTAGCAAAATTTAAAATTATAAATAAAATTTAAAATTATAAATGAAATTATTTTCCTTGCCAAAAAATAATAAACCTCTGCCAAAGCCGGCAACATTTTATACACAGATTGTGAAGTTATTACCTAAAATGCAAAATAATTATATCAAATTTGACACCTTGAACGTTTTTATTTTCAGAATTTTATTAAAGAAAATTGAATGAGATTTTAATATTTCGAAACTAACACTACCATTATTTACGGACCACTCGGTGTTTATTTAATATTGAGATATAATATATGGCTACGGGCGAAAAAACGCTTTAAAAAAATGGTATCTCGCCGCGGTAATACCTCAGAGGTAGTTTGGAAATGTACCAAAAATAGCATACCTACCTCAATTTAATTGAAAAATTTGAATATAACTTTTGTATTAAATTAAAATGCATATTTGTAGTATACCTGTAAAAAATTACCCGCCACTGGATATCCGAAATTCTCTACAAATTTTGGAGTTTCTGAAATTTTCTCACAGAAATCGTAGTATATAATATAGGATATTTTTTTTTTTTTTTATTTAAAAAGATAATTATTATTTATTTCGCTTTAAAATGGGTCAATAGTTTTGGAAAATCGTGTATTTTGATGTGCATTTGACGTATCTCTGTTGACTAGAGACTCCTAAAAAGCATAAACAAATTAACTTTTCCGCGGCACACATAAATTCGAAATAGATTTAATCATTTAAGCCATGTTTTTTTAACACCTTGTATATAATTCCCTAGCTAGATTTTAAAAAGACGACTTTACATTAAACAGCATATTTATCATTTTTTTATTTAGAATGCATTCCGTTTTCGTGTGCATATAAATATTGAACTTTGCCGCGGTACACAGAAATTCAAAATCGCCACTTTCTTTAACCCTTGTATATAATTCCACAAGCTAAATTTTAAAAAGGAGACTTTACATTAAACGGTATATTTGTTATTTAGAATGCATTTCGCTTCAATAGGTTAATAATTTTAGGACGATAGGACGTCCCATATTTTCGAGTGCATTTGAGGCGTTTCGGTTGACTAGACACTCCTGAAAAGCATAAAAATGAATTTTGCCGCGCTAGGCAGAAAGAATCGATTTAAAATTATAATTGGAATATTTAGGAGAAATCTTCGCACACGGTACAATAAATCCACAATTAAAAACGAGAATCCAGCATCTGTTTTCGATTACATTACGTTTATTTAATCGTGAAAAGTAAAAGTTGAAGATGCACACACTACAAACAGGTAACAGGTGTCTCAAATATTCACAGAGACTCCGTAATCTCGCCTTTCTTGCGTATCAAGTTTAACTGTATAATGTAGGACGAGAAATTATTACAATAAACTCATCAATAAACTTTCGAATGTCCGAGACCAAGAAAAAGTAAAAGTTTATTTTTTATGTAAATTACAAAAATTTTACTTTCATTTTCAATCGTTAAGATGGCGCTTTCAACCCATCATCGATTTTTTTAATAATTATTTTTGAAAGATTGTAACTATTATTTTTATATTTATAAAAAAAAGGGTGAAGAAGTGAAGAAAAGTACATTTTCTGACCTTTGTAGTGTCGTCCGTGAAATTCCTGATAGATGGGTAAAATCCAATTTTTGCGCGCACTGTCGATTTTTTTACAATTTGCGAATGTCCCCACTGACACAGTTTTTCGTGTACCCGTGCACAAATTCTACTAGACCCTATAGAAGCCATCGTTAAAACTGTTGTGAGACGGCTGTCACCGAAGAAGAGCACCTTTCGCGAACTCTACGCAGTCCCACCACTTAGTTCTTAACTCCCGTCCACCAGGTGCATTAATCACAATCTAAAATCTAACCTAACCTAGTCGAACTAGAATTAGAATAAAATGTCCGTCTCACTTTTATCTCGTATAAATGTTACTGTACAAAGGTTCAAACAAGCCCTAATTTACACGTTCGGAAAAGGCTATCCACCAGGTATTTTCTACATACTTTTTAACTATTACATAACGTTATATCACATAATTTATTTGAAGTCGCGAATGTAACCTCACTTTTTGACAGATGCCTTTTGTTTGGTTGGAATCGAATTGGATAGGAATCCTCCGAATGTGGCCCCGTTTTCGATTAAAGATCTGATTGGCAATGGATTTTTGTGGGCCGTTCCTAAACATAGGAGAAGCGTCGAGAAACGGTGGAAAAGAAAATTCGGCGATCCCGATTATATATGGAAATTATTGAGACCTAGAAAAGATTTGAGGACGTGTAACGTTTGTGGAGATGATCACGAAGCTGGGGTTTTATGTCGTAAGTACACGTTTTCCTGGGTAATAGGGTAAATATTGTTTTCTTTATAGAATAATAGACAAAAGTATATAGGTATATAATAGTAGTTTTTATGCTTTTATTATTATTAATACAAAAGGTTTGATTAGTGTAAAAAAAACCTCAAGTAGTTCAAAATGTTTTATTAATCACATACATATTGAAATTATCAATATTTTAATTAAAAACAACCTAATTTTTTTAAAGAAGAAACAATGAATTACCAACATTCCATCTTTATATGGGTACTATTTGTTTACTTATTGAAACAGTGCTAAATTGGCTTTCAATATCCAGAGTTTTATAATTAAAATTCCTAATTCAATCTCTTCAGATTTCCTTAAGAAATAGACTAATTACATTTATACTAATTTTAAATTAGCACTTATTGTCAAGAAATATCGATCTGTATTTAACAAAATCTTTTTAGCAACATGTTACAAAAAAGTAATAGACGAAACTAAAGCCATGCAAGATCAAATTCAAAATGAGCTGAAATTAGAACCTGTGGAAAAAGAGGTGGTTGTGTTGTACCAAGGCGAAAAAGTCGGTAAACCCGAGGAGTTTTTTAAGGGAAAAAGGATAGTGGAGATGCAGAAAGAACGTCCTGCGTGGTTTAGCAAAAATTTGTTGCAAGAAACCACCCAGAAAAATGCTACAACTAAGGAAGTTAAACCCTCAGATTTGGGATGAGTTATTTGTTGTATATTGCCTTAATTTCTGTTGAAAATATTTTTTGTATCAAAAAGAATTGTTTTAAGATTTTTGTAGAATAAAGATATAAAAAAAATGGGAAAACTTTACCATTTGTCTTGATTTTCATTACAAAATCTTCGTAAAAGACGTTTAGAAAATAATTTTTAAATATGGCATTGACAGCTAACAGTTCCAGGTTCCAGTGCTGCCAACAGGTAAGTTCGGACTATATAACAGGGCTGCCAGAATGAAAATGACAAATCGTACTAAAAAACATTTTAAAACATTGAATTTCAAAAAAACGTACTAAAGGAACAAATGGGGCACAAGTGAAATAAAAATGATTTTCTTGTGGATTAACACTTTTATTAAATTATATAATCTTTATGTATAACAGAAAAAACGTCTAAATCCATTTTACTTTCAGGATTATAACCAACAAACGTGCAATAAAGTTCAATTTCAAATAAATTATTTGACTCATCACATGACTTAACTGTCATCCATCGTTAATAAAATACGTCACTCTATTCAAAAAATTTTTAAAGTAGTACTGGAAACCCACATACTTTAATTTTCTCTTACTATACGGAGAATGGTCGCAGTGCGCAGCTTTCTGAGTGCCTTTTAAAAGGAGATAGAAAACTCCGCCATTTTGATGCCTTATTACGTGTTGCCTACATCTTGGCGCAATATTTTTAATAGGTGCGTTTTAATCATCCGCTTCTGCTTCGGAATTGTTGGTTTTCTTAATCTGACAGGTTAAACCGACAATTCCGAAAGCAGAAGTGGAGATTAAAACACACCTGATATTTTGCTTGCTGCTGACAGTGTCAGTGAATATTATTTCTCCTTTTAAAAGGCACTCAGAAAGCTGCGCAATGCGACCATTCTTCGTATAGTAAGAGAAAATCAAAGTATGTGATTTAGTCCGATTAGTAACAGTTCAACACGCTTAAATGTCATTTAAAGGGTAGCCTAAAAAACTTTGCGCCTGTCCCGTTCCAGCACCTGGCTAAACGGAACATTGAAAAAGTAACACAATACAATTTTGTATGGCTACGGTCGATATTAGGTCCAGTAATTTTGTCACTTTTTCCATAAAGATTAAGTAAAACCATAATATTTTTACACTTTTTAATCTTCTATAAGTGTGCACTAACCTAATTAAAGTAACAAATATTATTAAAACACATTTGTAAGCTAAAAAATTAAGAATATGCATTTATTCACTACATTCTCACGTATCCATATTGTTTTTAATTTTTTCGATTTGACAGTCACACTAAGAGCGCCTGTGCGTGATTTTAGCGATGTTGCCAATTGCTTTCTGTTATAAATAAATATATTCATGGCAATACCGTTCTATATTATTTTTTATGAATAATATGACAACTGATATTTTTATTTCTATAAATGTGGAGTTGTCAAACATATTAAAAAAACGTACATAACAGGAATGACAGTGGCTGTTTTTCCAATAGCTCCAAGACAAATGATAAAACCAGAATATAAATGTGTTTATAGGAGACTTTTCATTTCAATTATTCAATTTGAGCTGTGTCCAGGCCGGTCGGCGTAGCCAGGTATGGGCTGATGTTTGTTTTGGTGGCGCCGAAAAGCCGCCACTCTACGTCTTATCCTAGGGTGCCGCCATCCTACGATAAGTCGTTGCTTCGTTTTCTTGTTACATATTTATGGACTGATATGCGCAATCGCAAGAAATTATGTAAAAAAAAGTTTACGTTTCCAATTCAATTTGAGCTGTGTCCAGGCCGTTGGAGTCTATGCCGGTCGGCGTAGCCAGGTATGGATTGAAATTGTATGGTGGCAGCGAAGCCGCCACCCTACGATAAGTTGCTTCGTTTTCTTGTTGCATATTTATGGATCAGTATGGGCAATCACAATTTTCCATTAACTACTAATTTTATCACAATCCGGCAACGTTGTAATTATATTTTCTAAATTTGACAGAAACCATCGAGTTTCCATGTTTACAGTCGTCAAAATGCTGATTTTTACAGAAATTAAATAATTTTTTTTTGCTTAAATAATGCATTTACCGCAATTTTTTTTTAATGTACTATTCAAAATACGCTCTTTCTGATAAAAAATAAATTTCTTTAAAATTTTACTGGACCTAAAGTCGACCGTACCCATTTTGTATCAATCAAAAACTAATATAAATAAAGCTAAATTGATTAATATAAATTATGTATTACGTATTGTACCAGGACAATCACAATTAGCGCATTCTCTTAACGATTTTAAAAGTTCGCTGTATCTTTCTGAATCGATGTTAACACAGTCACGAAATATTCCAGAACCACTGAAAAAAAATATATTAATAGACCATAGTTGCGACGATGTTAAAACAAAGTTCACAATATGTAATTTGTTTCCAATCACTATTTGTGTTTGCAAACCGCAATATGGCTAATGCAACACTGGCAAAAATTGTTTTCAATGGAAGATTGGAAAAATATAGTTTTACCTGCACAATTTTTGTGGCAATTGATCTATATCATCGACAGCATCGTTGAGAATATTATCTAAATCCATATACGAAATAAAAAGCTTACAAATTTCTCTCAACCTAAAAATAAGAAATAAATAAGATATGCAGTAAGGTCATTTATTAAATTTTACTTTTTCGTCCAACTTCCATCCATCTCACTATTTATATGTTCAGTACAATCTATTTTATTTGTTACAAGACAATCATTGTTGATTTTCTTTAAACCATAACTGAAAACTAGTTTGTTTTAATCAAAAGTAAAAGTTAAAAATATCAAATATCGTACTTTTTGAAACCTTTTTCAGAAAGTAAATTTAAGTCGTGAGCTATATGGTTATTTATTTTTTCTATGCTGATTTCATCTAATTGCAACGACTCTATTGAATATTTTATGGCCATTACCATCTAAAAAATTAAATTAAAGTTTATCGAGATTAAAAATTATTTTTGATGCAAATTTTGTGCTAAGGACTAATTTAAGTACGTCTGGAATCGTCAATTGAATAACCGAACGCGCCTATAACTTGGCAAACATGACAATTTGACAAATATTTGCAATCAGTGACGTCATATCCACTGGGATAAAACCTAAAAAAATTGTCGTATCTTTGAGAAAAATATTAAAAGTAACATGACAATACCTCGTCGGCAATAGCCAAGCAAGCAGCACACTTTAAACAGAACGATCCAAAAGGTTTTCGTCGAACGAGATTTTTAATTTGATTTTTATAGGGGTTGATGACAACTTTCGGTTTTGTAATGGTAAAATTGCAATCGTCGAATGGGGCGTATACTTGTTCTTCCACTAACTTTACGTGATATGGTTCTATGGGATGTAGTGATGGTCTGCAGGATAAACACAGTGTAAAAATGATTAATAAATATACAATATAACTGAAATAAGGCATTTGTATAAGTAAACTGACATTAATTTTGATGGGTGCATGATGGATGTATAGCAAAAATGTATTATTAAATTGCTGCTTTGAAATATTAAGAAAAAGAAGAAGGAAACCTTAAAAATAAACAATTTGCCTTCTGATTTGTTTTGACCACGGCCGTCTTTACTAGGTAAAGAAGACTATGGTATTGACTATGGGCACCTACATTAATAAAATTTAATCAATATCGTTTAAATGTTTTTTTATTTAACATTCTAGATATAAATTTGATTAGAGCTACACACGTACAAAACTTAGGAACCTGTATTGTATCTGTATGGTACACTGAACTATATACCTATTAAGGCTGTATGTCACGATGCTAAATTTAGTACTAAATTAATGCATTTTTTAAGTTCTAAAAAAATTCACGTTGCAAACAGCAAATTTAGTACTAAATTTAGCACTAAAAAAATAAATTAATTTGTTCTATTTTCTACTAAATTTAGTACTAAAAATGCGTCGAAATGTTGCGCAGTAGCTTTTTGGTTTATAAAAAAGTTGACAGTTGACACAACTGTCGAACTGTCTCTGTACCATTTTGTTTTTGGTTAGCGTTAGCGACATTTGGCATTGCGTGTGATTTTGTACAACTAAATAATAACAACTTAATAATAATAATAATAAAACAGTACACGAAATAAATAAAAAATATACGAAATAAATAATAGCTTAATAAAATCACAATAATCTATTTTGAATCTGTCAAATGCCACAAATGTTTAACGGCTTCAACGCTGTCAAGTCAACAGTCATTGCGTTCGGTCTGCCAACTCCTTTAACACTTTTAACTCCAAACGACCCTTTTAACGTTCGGTTTAGTACGATTAGTGACAATAGGTTCTTTCGTTCGCTATTGGTGTAGTGTCCACCAGTGTAAATTACACCAGTTACACCACCTTATTTACCCTAATTTACTTCCTCCTTATTCCTTATACACATCGTCGAGTGTAATTCACTCCTGCTAAATAGCTGGTGGAGAAAATATCCACCAGTGTACACCACATCGCCGACAGGAAGGTATAGTGGGTTTTACACCGGACCAAACGAAAGGTATGGGTGTGGGTTGGTGTAGTTCATTACTACACCCAACTACACCAGTGGGACGAACGAAAGAACCTAATTTAACTCGCTTAAATCACTGATCTGTATTATAATACAGATCAGTGGCTTAAATGTCATTTAAAAGCAGCCTAAAATTTGTCCCGCTCCAGCCCCTGACTATCCGAACTCGCCTAGTATCAACTGTCTAATTTCCACAAAACATTTTAGTTCTGTTGGGGTTCTGTGCTAATTTCACGAAAGGGTACGCTAATGCGCATGCGCCTATACTTAATTTAGTACTAAAAATTTGTATCGTTGCAAACAGCAAAATTTATTTTTAGTTCTAAATTTAGTACTAAATTAATAACTTAATTTAGTGCTAAATTTAGTACTAAATTTAGCATCGTGACATACAGCCTTAAAAGTGGAAGAACAAAGCCGATCAACAAAATCAAGCCATATAGCGAGGTGATATTTGACACTCTGGCACCCACACGTGCGTATCGAAATGCACTAAAAAGGAACATCAAAATTAAAACACTTATTATAATTAACCGTTACATCTTTTAATTTAAGAAAATCACTTAGAAATGATTTTTGATTATTACGCAGCTGAAACAAATGTTCCAATAATAATAATTATTAAAATAGCGCGTTATTAATAAAAAATAACATAACTTATCGTAAGTACGCCCGTGGGAAACGTGACGTAGAATGCTCGAAATTGACAGTCTGTATATATATTTTTTTTTCCTTTATTTTTGTTCCTCATTTATTTTAATTTTTACGCTTTGAACTTGCTTTTTACCTAAAAAGATCAATTAAATACTAATAACATAACTAAAAGTCCATTGTTTTATTTCCAACATGTTACGCCTCTGGTTAAAAAGCATTGGTGTCAGAATGGAACACGTTTCTGTGACGGTACGAGATCATCTTTCAATACGGCACGTGTTGAGACACCTATCTTCGTTCCACAGAATGCGATTCTTATGTAATGTCTCTCTCTCTCTCTATTTGATTCGTTACGTGTTGAGTTTGCACATAAGAGTCCCTGTCCTGAAGTACGAGATTTAAAAGGAAGTGACTAATCATCCGGGAGTACCCGTTCAAGAGCTCTATTACATGAGGTATGTTCTGGTTTTAAGGAATAGCGATCCACAACTGTCGGGCTCATGCGCAGTACATAAAAAGTGTTCTGTTTTTCTCGGACTACTTCGGATCTCTCAGTCCAGTGTTCTGGTTTCGTATCCGAAATAATCCGTGACTGTTGGAAACAGTCAAAATGTTTTCATGCTTGAGGGTGTGGATCTTTGAATATATATATTCAAAGGTGTGGATCTACTCGGACTGTTTTGACCGCGCATGCGTTTTTGAAGTGTTATGAATATTAAATTAGCTTTTAAGACCATACAGAACGTATACAATCCCAAATTATTTATTTATGTGTGGACGAATCTCTCTTGTTCTTGTTTTATTTGTAAATTAAAGCATATTAAAATTATTAATTTTTTAATATTATTCTCCGTTTTTTTTTTAATTCCATTGAAATGTGATGAGATGAAATGATGAACATATAAATGCAAATTTTATTTGAAGCTGAACTTTCAAAAGGGATTGCATTATTATAATAAACAATAAACAAAACACCTTTATGTATTCTGGTTTTCCAACAGTTTCAAACAGTCGGGGATTTTTACCTTTACGCCCACAGTGCGGCGCAGTTTCAAAACCGTTTTCATTTTGAGAACCAGAACAAACCTTAAATTGTCCAAAACTGCAGTCAACCTAAATTTATTTTTTTTTTAATTTGGTGTCATCGGCATCAACTACTAAGGACATTAGCCTCGTGTTCTATGTAGGCTTTGTTACTGTTTCCCAGCGCCACTTTAGGAACAGCACTGTTAATTAGAACCTAAATTTTAACATAAAAGTATATTTTGCTCAACTAGCTGGAAATTATGAAATTAAAAGCTAAACATTGAGTTAATTTTGGCTCTAATCTCACTCAAAATTTTCAACCTCACTATAAACTTCTCATCAAACCATAAAAGATAATTTTGAAAGAGTAAAACCAAATTAGGTAGATTTTCACACTTTTATTTTAAAAATAAAAATTTTTAAACAAACACTAACATGACATATGTTTCGAAGTACAACTTCTTTTTCAAATGTGACTATTTACAATTCGGTATCCAATATATATACAAAATAATTTAACAAAACAAAGTACTTAAGAAAACATCAATAACATTACAAAATAAACTAACTATTTAAAGTAAATAAGGGTACTTAGGTAATTATAATATCCATCAAATAACAATAAGATAGCCCATTACCGGGATTATCTCACAGAAAACTGGGAAAGAGGTTTAATAAGGGTGAATTATTAATATCTAATTGATCATTTAGTAAGTTATCTGAATTTTTAAATCTATTTATTTCAAGTGTTTCTAAATGGTTTAATTTAAGGCTCTTATTTTCTACATGTAAAATTTCAAAGTTGTCTGTAAAAGAATGATTTTCAGCTAAAATATGATTTGAGTAAGTAGAATTATTTTTGTTTTTTGTATAGCTATTATAATGTTCGGAATAGCGTTTTTTGAAAGTACGGCCTGTTTGACCAATATACAATTTTGGACAACTACCACAATTTAATTTATATACCCCCGATTTATTATTAGGATTAATTTTACCCTTATTGTTTTTAATATACTTCCCAAGCGTATTATTGGTTTTAAAAGCTACGTTAATATTTTGGTTTTTTAAATATGATGATACCTTTTCACTAGGAGCTCCTATATATGTAAGACTCTTATATCTGCAATTTGGATCTTTAATTATGGGATAAACTTGTTGAATAGCCTGTTTAAAAAGTTTTTTCTCTAAAATGTTGTCTACTAACTTTGAATTAAAATTATTATTTACTGCGATTTGTTTAATGATATTTAATTCTTTTGTGAAGTTCTCTTTGGTAAGGGGAATATTAACTAATCTATGGATCATACTGTTGTATGCTGCCAGCTTTTGTTTGTATGGATGAGATGAACTATTATTTATTGTAATATCCGTATGTGATGGCTTATGAAATATCCCAAAACTATGGCCTTTATTATTTTTAATAATATTTAAGTCTAAAAAATTAATTGAATTATCCTTCTCTGTTTCCATAGTAAATTTAATATTAGGGTGTATAGTATTGATAAAAACTAATAAAGAATTTAACTGTTTAAAGTTTTCTGTGAGATAATCCCGGTAATGGGCTATCTTATTGTTATTTGATGGATATTATAATTACCTAAGTACCCTTATTTACTTTAAATAGTTAGTTTATTTTGTAATGTTATTGATGTTTTCTTAAGTACTTTGTTTTGTTAAATTATTTTGTATATATATTGGATACAGAATTGTAAATAGTCACATTTGAAAAAGAAGTTGTACTTCGAAACATATGTCATGTTAGTGTTTGTTTAAAAATTTTTATTTTTAAAATAAAAGTGTGAAAATCTACCTAATTTGGTTTTACTCTTTCAAAATTAAATGGATTTTCATCAAGTAAAGGCCGAAACAATAAATAACATAAAAGATAAATTAAGGACAAGCCTACTTTAAATAATGTATTTTATCTCGATTGTGAGAACAAATTATAATAATAGCAAACAGCTTTCCTACGTATATCAGCAGGACTCTTTCTTTATACAGGATCTTCGGATGATTAGTCACTTCCTATTTGAAAGATTCGATAGGCGAGTTCGGATAGTCAGGGACTGGAGCGGGACAAATTTTAGGGTGCTTTTAAATGACATTTAAGCGTGTTAAACTGTCACTAATCGGACTAAACCGAACGCTAAAAGGGTCGTTTGGAGTTAAAAGTGTTAAAGGAGTTAAAGGAACTTGGCAGACCGAACGCAATGTGCAATGATCGAATTGTCATTTCTGTCAGTGTGTTGTCATATGTCATTCATTACGCATAAGTAACTGTCATTTGATTCTTTAATTTTTTCTCCATTTTAATCAAAGCGGAAAACTTATGCGTTAAAAGATGTCGATATTAGCTAGTCCTCTATCAGTAGCCGGTTCAAGAACCACCGGAGCTTCAGTTCGTACCCAAAATGGTAAGTACAAACAATTTTCAACTATCAACTTCACTTAAATTTACCGGACCTAACCTATAAAGTTACTCACGAGGTGAGGCCCCCTTTTAAATAACCGTTTTACAATGATTAACTGTGTAGCTTTGGAGCAAAGCCGAATAAAACCACTTTTTATGAAAATTAAGTTAGCGGCGGATTTCAACTTTGTTAAATTACATCTTTGTATACTACCTGTCCGAGCAAAACCGAATAAATCTTTGTAAAATTCAGGATCGAAATTGATGTTTTTGTGCAAAACCGAATAACTAGTGGATTTATTCGTGTAAACAACACACTGGTATTCACTGTAGTTTGTAAGAGATATTTCTTTATTTTGATTTGTTTTTCCTCTTATATTAGTGAATAAATCATTTTTTGTCATATTTTTAACAAAAATAACTTTTCAAAATTATAATTTCAAAGAATGTATTATTAATGACGTCTCCAGTAGTATTGTTTTAACAAAACAAACAAAAAAAACAGTGCTTTTTGTGCAGTTGAAAAATCGTTTTTTCCCAAAAATCCTTTATAGTGGATTTATTTGGTTTTGTTCCAAAATTCCTCAATTTAAGAACAACTCTGTCACGCCCTAGACTCAACTAGAGCTGTTAGAGTTTATTTTAATATAATCATTTTAATTTTTATGTTATAATATAGTTTTTTTCACCTATTAAGGTTAGTTTAAGTACTTATAGTATTTTATATTTTGTATAAATATTGTATAAGCTTGTTTAAATAAATACATAATTAAATTACAGTCATGGCAGCATCTACAATTGCCAATGTAGTAAAAAGCTCATTGGGTCCAGTAGGATTAGATAAAATGTTGGTTGATGATATTGGAGATGTGACCGTAACAAACGATGGAGCCACTATTCTGCGACTTTTGGAAGTAGAGCATCCTGCTGCTAGAGTTTTAGTTGAATTAGCCCAGTTACAAGATGAAGAAGTCGGTGATGGCACCACGTCCGTTGTAATAATAGCTGCAGAATTACTTAAAGTATAAAGATTGTAAATTTTATCAATCTTATACCTAAGTAACATTATTTTTTTCAATTTTAGAATGCTGATGAGCTTGTTAAACAAAAAATTCATCCTACTTCTATCATCAGTGGTTATAGATTGGCTTGTAAGGAGGCTTGTCGGTATATTCAAGATCATTTAACCATACCAGTAGAGGAATTGGGGAAGGAGTGTATTATAAATGTCGCCAAGACATCTATGAGCTCAAAAATCATTGGAGCGTATCCTTTTTTTACAAGTTACAAATTTATAAATCTTCCTCACCCCCTATTGTAATGAAGGGGGTAGCACACTTAAAAATTAAGGTTTTTTTTTATAAATATTTGTTTAAAGTTGGCAAATGAACTATAAATCGGTTATTCAATGATAATTTACATTTTACCACTAGTTGACAAAGTAAAATATCAATGTCTATTAAAAGATTACAAATTAAACTTCAAATATACATTTAGAGTTGAAATAGGGAAGGTAAATCACAAATTGTCATTTCAAATGTCAATTGTTCAAGGATAATTGACATTTCATGATGAGCCTGAAAAGTAAAATATCAATGTTATTTGAAAGATTACAAATTAAACTTCAAATACTCATTTAAAGTTATAAAATATGAATGATAAATTGCAAATTCACTGCTGAAACGTCAATTATTTAATGTTTATTGACATAGCCTGTAAAGTTAAATATCAATGTTTGTTGACAAATTATAACTTCAAATATTAATTTAGAGTTGAACTTGAAATGACAATTATTCAGAGATAATTGACATTTTACATCGAACCTGCAAAGTAAAATATAAATATTTATTGATATATTACAAACTGAACTCAGATATTTGTTAAAAGTGAAAATATGAATGATAAATTACAAATTGTTGAAACGTCAATTTTATTCAATGATAAATGACATTTCACCTCGAATCTGTAAAGTTAAATATCAATGTTTATTGGCAGCTTACAAATTAATCTTCAAATATTTAGTTAGAAGTGAAAATATAAATGACAAATTGCAAATCGATGGTTGAAATGTCAATTATATGTTTGAAATTTCTTGTACTTTTTGTAATATAGCATGTAGAAAAAAATCATCATTTTAAAAAAGAAAACTATTTTTTAATTTTTTTTTTGTCTTTTGAGATTTAGGGTAAGGATGTAGAAAACATCATAATTTCAATTGTTTTTAATATTTTTTTTTGGACTTGTTTTAAATTTTGTGTGATAATGTAGATTCCAACTGTTTTATTTTAAAAGTTTTTACTTCATTTTTTGAGGAGGATTCGCATCTCCTGCTACGTGATAGAGAGGGGGTAAGATTTTTATGCAAGTATTTTGTAAATCAGTTATATTGTAAATGTGCCAAAAATGAGATTTGTATCTCCTCTGTAACTATTTTTAAATGCCAGTTTCTCACATCAAAACTAATTTTAGATTCCTATTTTATTTAAACAAATGTAACTTCATTTTTTGAGGGTTATATCCTCTCCATCTCAGCCAGGGGATGGGATTTTTTTATATAATTTTCATTCTTATGGGAAAATACATGCATGTAATAAGTTCAACTACAATATCTCGCCCCGAATTGCCCCAAGGACCAAACCCCAACAATCTTCCCAGTCTTCTATTTTGGTATTCTTCCTTCCCCTATCCTTTATCTTACTAGTTGTCTAGATCTTCCCAGTCTCCTATCTTTCTTACTGATTTCTATCCATCCATCATTAAAACTCCCCACCAATCCAACCTTCTTTGCTACAAATGTATACGCAGTCCAAATATCTGATTTCTTAACATGAACGTATACAGTGATGCTGATATTTTCTCACAAATCGTCGTTGATGCCGCTACCGCCATCAAAGTAACAGATTCGAAGGGTAATGCCATGTACCCCATTAAAGCTGTCAACGTCCTTAAAGCGCACGGTAAGAGCGCTAGGGAGAGCTTTTTGGTTGCCGGATATGCTCTTAATTGTACAGTCGCCAGCCAGGCCATGCCCAAGAAGATCCTTAACGCCAAAATCGCCTGTTTAGATTTTTCTTTGCAGAAGGCTAAGATGAAGATGGGTGTACAAGTGAGTCTTCAATTAATAACTTTGTTTCTGATAACAGGTAAAGCTATCAAAACTATAGAGGTATATTTACTTCACTTATAGGTTGATGGTGGTACTACTGGCCTTTTAGGACTATAAAAAGTTGAAATATGGATGATAAATCGCAAATTGCCATTTGAAATGTCAATTGTTCACCTATAGTTGATGTTTCACGTTGAATTTAAATATTAAACTTCAAATTTCATTTAAAGCATAAACTATAAATCGCAAATTCATGGTTGAAATGTCAATTATTTAACGATAATTGACATTTCACGTCTAGCTTACAAAGTAAAATATTAATATTTATTTTTATTAAAACATTACAAACTTCAAATATTCATTTAATGAATGGCATATTGACAGTTGAAACGTCAATTATTCAATGATAATTGACATTTCATCTCCAATCTGTAAAGTTAAATATCAATGTTATACCAATTATAAATTATTATTTTAAATCTAATAAACTCTCGCAAGGTCTTGATCACCGATCCCAATCACCTGGAAGGGATCCGCTCCAGGGAGCTGGACATCACCAAGGAGCGCATCCAGAAGATCCTGGCGACGGGAGTGAACGTCATCCTATGTTCCGGGGGTATTGACGATCTGTGTCTCAAGTATTTTGTAGAAAACGGCGCCATGGGGGTGCGTAGGGTTAAAAAAGCCGATTTGAAACGTATCGCTAAAGCTACGGGCGCCGCTTTTGTCACTTCACTCAGCAACATGGAAGGGGACGAAACATTCGATGCCAATATGGTCGGCGAGGCAGCTGAGGTCGTACAAGAAAGAATATCCGATGACGAACTTATCATTATTAAAGGGTAATTATTAGTATTATGAATGTATTATAGTTCGGTGGTGGTGCTACTGGTTTTTTTAGATCCATACAAAGTTTAAATCGCAAATTGACATTTGAAATGTCAATTATTAAACAATAATTGACATTTCATGTCGAATTTACAAAGTAAAATATTAATGTTTATTGATTTATTACAAATTTTACTTTAAAATATTAACGATAAATCGAAAATTAACGCTTTAAACGATAATTGACATTACACGTCGTCTATAAAGTAAAATATCAAGGTTTAGTGAAAGATTACATTACGGTTGAGTATGGCTGAATTAAACTATTCTTTTAAAGTTGAAATATAAACGTTATGTTTCAAATTGATGGTTGATACGTCAATTATTCACTGATAATTGACATTTCACATCGAAATCTACTTAGTAAAATATCAATTATTACAGAGAAATTACAAATTAAACTACACATCTATGTACGATAAATCGGAAATTGACGTTTCAAACGTGCATTATTCAGTTTAATTGACATTTTATGTCGAAATCCATAAATAAAATATTAATGTTTATTGGTAAATTACAAATTAAACTACTATTAAATATTACCGTTAAGTCACAAATTGACTGTTGAAACGTCAATTATTCAGCAATAATTGACATCACATCTAATCTACAAAGTAAAATATCAATATTTAATGGCAGATTGCAAATTAAACTTGAAATATTCATTTAAAAATCATTTTGAAATTGACGTTTCAAGACTCAATTATAGTTGACTTTTCAGTTTGAATATTCAAAGTAAAATATTATGAAATTGACGTTTCAAGTCTAAATTATTTAATTATAGTTGACATTTCTCCTTGAAGATATAAAATAATGTTTATATTAATGTTTGTGATGTTTAATCACAGCCCCAAAGCCCGCACAGCCGCTTCAATCATCCTTCGCGGACCCAACGACTTTTACTGTGACGAAATGGAGCGCTCAGTGCACGACGCACTCTGCGTCGTCAAACGCGTCCTCGAATCAAAAAGCGTCGTCGTGGGAGGCGGTAGCGTCGAAGCGGCATTGTCAATCTATCTGGAGAACTTTGCAACAACGCTCAGCTCCAGGGAGCAACTTGCCATCGCTGAATTCGCCAGAAGCTTGCTGGTAATTCCCAAGACGTTGGCCGTTAACGCTGCCCAAGACGCGACTGATCTAGTGGCCAAGTTGAGGGCATACCAGAACTCCAGCCAGACCAAAAAGGACCATGCACATTTGAAGTACGTCGGATTGGATCTTATTGAAGGTGAGTTAATTATTTGGTGGAAAAATTTAAGGTTTATGACAGCTGTTTTATGTCAGTGTGGATAATACATTTTTGTAAGCATTTATAGGTATTGGAAAGAGATAAGGTTTTCTACCAGTTAAATATACAGTGTGTCTGGAATTCAGTCTGTTAAAATGCTTTGTATTTTTAACAGGTACCGTACGGGATAACAGAAAAGCTGGAGTCTTGGAACCGACTATGTCAAAGATCAAATCTTTGAAATTCGCTACTGAAGCCGCGATTACCATCTTGAGAATCGATGATATGATAAAATTGGATGCCGAACAGAAGGGCGGTGGTAAAAGTTACCATGACGCCATGGATAGCGGAGAATTATATGATTAATTAAATAAAAAATTAATTATTTAACGTATTACTAATTTATGGCTATAGCAGAAGAAAGCTATTGCTTTTTTTCAAAATGATTGTTCGTTCACTCACTCTCATCTAATCTCTTTTTTTAATAAACGTTTATTAGAATGGATGTGTTTTATTTATTGAATTTGTAGGAAATAAACAAATTTAGTTTTTTCCAACCCTACAATGACAGGACTATTTTTAGCTGATGTGTCCCACAGATGAAGTTTTTGCAATGGCATGCGGCCGTATGCCAGATAAATCAGACAGTTGCAATTTTTTAATGAAAAACTAAAAACGTATAATAATTATGAATTGATGTCATACTGTGAATAAAGATACTACGAACAATTTTATTGAGAAGGAACAAGTAAGTATATTGTACGGTGTCATATCTACCTAAATACAACAGTATGTGCTTTATTTGGCAATAAACAAGTTTATTTTTTTATTTTGACAAAATTATCTAACACCCATGAGAAGCCTTGTATTTTGAACAGCGGTACCAGCGCTCTTGTGGTAAAGTAAAGAAGCTCAATTAGCGTTCGTTTTTTGGGACTGTATATCGAGTATGCCGATTCGCCTCCATCTCTAGTCTTCGTAGTATCAGTTTTCACCGTTTACATCTTAGAACATAGGTATATTGCTGCGTTTGAGAATCCACATCGGATGCATCTGAGATGTAAAAAATCTTTGATCACGTGGTTCAGTATACGTAAATGTAATGGGACAGATGTGTCCGATGTGGATAAAAAAACGCTCGAGATGTAAAAAATGCATCCGATGTGGATTCTCAAACGCAGCATATGTATCTGAAATGTAGTAAATCTTTGATCACGTGATTCAGTATACGTAAATGTAATGGGACAAGTGTCTGATGTGGATAAAAAAACGCTCGAGATGTAAAAAATGCATCCGATGTGGATTCTCAAACGCGGCACAGATCGTTTAGGATTCCTCCTTCCTCACTATATATACTGGGTCTTCAACAATACCGAAAACCCACGTGACCAAATCGTCATGACAGCGATTGGTGAAAATAAAAGTAAAAATCCCTAAATTTGAGCCAGTGCCGTAGGTATTTTATTACAAAATAGATCTTCTTCTTTTTTTATGGTCTGCAACTACGAGAACAAAATTCAGTTAGGTAACTGTTAGAATTACAACACAAATTCATAATATTAATTAGAGGTGCTTTACATTATTGTATTTTAATGTTAGAATTCGATATTTTAATTAGATTTAATCAAATTCAATAATCCAATTTTAAAAATGATATAAATAACATAACCTTAAAAACTGAGCTATTTATATCTAGTTTGTATTTAACGAAAAGAATAATAAACTGAAATATGGTTCGTACTACAAAAAAAAACCTTTACCAGAACAGGGCACAAAAAAGTTATGAATAAAAATGTTATGCATTAAAATATGAATAAAATTAAAAATTATTTACTTTAGATTGACTCTTTAAGGGCTGATTCCACCGTTCTGTTAAACGGAGATTAAAATGACATTGTTATTGTAAAAATGTCATTTTAAACTTCGTTTAACACAACGGTGGAATCGGTCCTAAAATATTTAGTTACAGCTGAAACTCTAAATACGATAGGCAGAAGACAATGGCAGTATTTGGCAATTATTGCAATTTAAGTAAACAAATTTAAAACTTACTGGAAGTGCCTGGATAATGGGAAGTAATAAACACATAATTTAAGTTTGTTCTATTATTTATTTGTTACAGGGTTTAAACCATTTACAAAATACATTGTTACTTATATGCATACAAAAAAATATTAATATTATTAATGTAACAAGCACATATTTGTTTTACCTTACAGCTCTTACTTCTCACTTTAAATTATAAAGGCATATCTATTAACAACTATTTTATTTAAAAGGATATTAAGTAGTAATCGGTGGTGCACAAACTAATTCACAGTACCTATCTGTTCAAAATCTTAATCACCAGCTTTAATGAAAGCATTAAACCTTCTTTTTTGAACACATTATGCAGTTTCTCCTCAGTTATATTTTGTATATCATTCAATATAGGTGCTCCAATTCATAAACCTCACAAACGATTTTGAATTGAGCGATCTGTAATATTCCATATGTAGTTTTAACAAAATTAAGGTAAAATGATTGTTGCAGTACCGAAACTTTATAGGGGATGCATTATCAGAATTTTTTTTTAACTTTATGGCTAGTTCGTAGTGATGAACTTAAAAAAAAATATGTTTTGAATTTCACTCGCCAGAGTCAGTCTTTAAAACACCGTTCATACCTGTTTGAGGTGCTGTTTTTTTTTACTAATTTATTGGGAATTTACAACATGTTAATTTGCACATCTTCAACAGCTTTTGTTATTACTTTGAGCATTTTAGACCTTCTTCCTTTTTTGAACAAGTATTTGTTTATGACGACAAAAAAGAATCACATTCCATTTATTCACCTGGAAAACGTTCCTCAAATGTTCGAATAATTTTGTTCCAGTATAACATTACCTACAATAAATTATATAGTCATTAACTTTTACGAGTTACAGTAAATAAATTTGTACTTACCAACAAAAAAGAATTAAGCCACCAATATTCTCTAAAAATAACTAATTGCTTTATTAATATTAAATGAAAAATGTACTAAGGGTGTTTATAAGATGTAAACAAATATAATATAAATATTGTCAGTCCCCAAATGAACGCCAGTGACATTTCTGACAGGATTGACAGTTCAGTTTAGTTCCTTTTACGTCAAATCAGGCCCTTTCGATGGGTTTTTGATGGTTATCAGATCACGTGGGTTTCGGGTATTGTTGAAGACCTGGTATATATTCTAAGGTTTACGTGCTCATCTAGAGATAGAAGGTCTGAGGAACAATCTAGTACTTTTTAGAAGTAACTGTTTGTTTTCCTTACTCCGCTCTACTCTCAAATTCAACAAATTAGGCATTCCAAACAAATGAATTACCAGTGGGCAGGTTTGGTATATCTAAGGGTGGCGACATATGGTGTATTCTAGCTACTTTACGTAAAATCATGAATAATGGATTACATTTAAATATTTTATGTCAAACACAATAAAAATAATATTTAAAAACCCACCTATACATTTTTTCATAAATTGGCAGGCTTGGCGAGTACTACTTCGAATAAAAATAGCGTCCAAGTTGCAAGACTATGTCGCTACCCCCTTACATATACAAGAATTTCCCACTAGCACCTATTGTTTGACAGGTCGTTGGAATGCCTAATAGTTCTTGTGTTGCGGGTTGCGGTGCTACTGTCATTATTTATTATTTTGATTTGAATTTTTATTTTATATATTTTTGTCAATTCATTCTTCATTCAATGATACAAATAACCTTTAAGTTTAAGCTTATAAATATAAACAATCAAGTGATAAGCAAGTAATCTTTATATTCTAGATTTTAAGAAATATATTTTTTTTTAAATTTGCGGTAGGTCTTAATCGAATAAAATTATGATAATTACATGCAAAAACGCATTTAAAATCACCAACATTACTTTAAAATCATTAATGAAAATGTCGACAGCAACAGAAGCCGCCGTAAATAAGGTAAATAGGTTTTATTAATTTTTATACTGACATATTTATAGTGTAGGTTAGAATAAGCATGAAATTGTCAATTTGAAAGTTATTTTGATAGAAAAATGATACGATTTAAATTCACAGTATTCATAATTCAATAACGTAAAGCAGGATATAGCATATTAAAAAATACAAAAAGAAATGATACCTAATCCTTATTAAAAATCACATGCAAGATATTGTTTATATATGGTTCCTCCTAAGCTTTGCTGTATGTTGTATATTCGTTATTATCCTTATTAAAAACAGGCAACTTATCAGAGACTGGAGAGGCTTGGATTACATATGAAAAATGTTTGCAAGTACTTTTATTTATTTGTATATTTATAATCTTATTTTAAAAAAATACAGTACCTAGGTACTATTTGTGAATAAAAATTATAAAAACTCTTTTCATTTTTACTGGACAGGTACGTAATTTAAAAATTGCATTCTTATTATTATGTAAAATGTATCTATATATTTTTTGCAATGAACGACATATAGGGTAAAATCATTTCTTACCTTTAAGATGGCCACATTTAAGCAGTTGGATTCTTTCGGTTTAAAACAGAATCACTAACCGGTTGCAAATTATACAAAAAGACAACCAAAAATACGGACGGTAAATCGCAAATTAACAGTTGAAATGTCAATTATTTCATGATAATTAACATTCCACATCGAATCTACCAAGAAAATATCAATGTTTATCAACTTATTACAAATTTTACTTCAAATATTCGTATAAAGTTGATATATTAAAGATAAATCGCAAATTGATAGTTTAACCATCAATTATTCAATTTCACCTATATCAATGTTTATTGAAAGAATACAAATTAAACTTCAAATTCAGTAAAACCCCAGTTAATCCTACTCTGGTTATCCAAAATACCTCAGAAATTGCAAATCCAAAAAAGATGTATGGGACTGCATGGAAATAATTGTAATGCTTACAGCTCGCTGGTATATGAAGAACATAAGTAAAGCTTACATAGTTTTAAATTCACTTGATCTTTCGAATATATTAAAATTGTGCATTATGTATCATCGCTGGAAAGACAAAGGGACGTAAGTCGAAAAATGCCCAATTTAAGACCACCACAAATGTGGTAAAGTGGATATCTATGATGTGACAAAAAGGCTTATCTTTCCTCCTTATAGTTAACATAATAAGGCAAATTAAACGCCATAATATGCATAAGGAAGGCACTATACATTAAAAGTTTAATTGGCCCTCCTATCTAAATTGGAGTTACACCTCTTCATATTTCCACTGACGGTATGTACTTAAATGTATACATAAGATTTAATGAGTGTATGTATAGATGTTCATGGTTGAACCGAAAAAATCATCCGAAATGTCTCCGCCCCCCCTTTAGTTTGGTTAACCGGGGTAATTTAAAATTGAAATTTGTAAGATAAGTTGCAAAGTGACGGTTGAAACGTCAATTATTCAATGATAATCGGCATTTGACATCAAATCTACACAGTAAAATATCAATATTTGCAGAAGATAAATTACGCTTTCAAAGTTGAAATATAAACGTTGAATCACAAAACGACGGTTAAAACGTTATTTATTCAATATTTGACAATTCAGGTTGAATTTAAAAGTAAGTAAAATATCAATATTTACCGACAAATTATATATTAACACTTCAACTATTCGTTTAAAGTTGAAATATGAACAATAAGTCGCAAATTAACGGTTGGAAATATGCAATAATAATTGAAATTTCACGTCAAATCTACAAGGTGTAAAATATTACTTCCAGACAGATTACATTTATCCTTCAAATGTTCATTTAAAGTTGAAATATGTACGGTAATTCCCAAATTAACGGTTGTAACGTTAATTATTCGACGATAAGTGACATTTCACGTCGAATCTACAAAGTAAAATATCACTATTTACCTACAGATTACACTTAAAATATTCGTTTAAAAATCCCAAATTAACGGTTGAAAGGTCAATTATTCATCGATAATTGACATTTCACGTCGAAATTGTGAATTGACGGTTGACACTTTGACAAGTAAGTAATTTAAAATAAAACATGTTTATTCCTATGCAAAAAATGTCTATATATTTCTTGCAATAAACAGCATATTATGTATAAATTATTAGCATTGCTTTATTGGAAATTGACAATTATTCAACGATAATTGATAATTTTTTCTACATTCATGAGAAAAAAATATGGAAATTTAACAATTAAGGGTGTAAGAAAAAAAAAAACGGCGAAAATCAGGTGGATGTGTCATATAAAAGAAACAGAAACAACCTGTTTTTCATCTTTTTTCAATTTTTAATGATGTGGTTGGTTTATTTTTTATTGAAATTGGCAGGCTATTATATATTTCGGACATTTCACGTCGAATCTACAAAGCAAAATATCAATATTTACCGGCAGATTACAATAGACGTTTAAAGTTACAAATTGATGGCTCAAACGTCAATTATTCAACGATAATTGACATTTCACGTCGAATCTACAATAAGTACAATATAAAAGTCGACAGATTACAAATAATACTTCAAATATTCGTTTAAAGTTGAAATTTGAATGATAAGTTGCAAATTGACAACTTTTAAAAATGTCACGAGGTCACGTTTTTTGTCCGCACGATAAGTAAAAAACAAAAAATGATATCGACATAAAATTTCCAAGAAAAATCAAGCTCTATAAGGGAAGCCCATTGATTTCGAAAAATTCTGAATAAAAATGTTTGTGTTTTGTGTATTTTAAATAAGGTACTGGCTAGCCGACCGCCGGCGGTAGTTGAATTTAATAAAACGAAAACCGTCTTCCGGCGGCATGGTCTTCTCACATATTAAGAAAGCCGCCGAAAATCTAAACTGATTTGTTGATGAGGGTGGCAGGCTATCAGAGTATTGATAAAGCCGCCGGACGACGGTCTACTGTATTTAAAACATTAAATGCCGCCGGAAAAAAACTCGCGTATCGGTGACAACACTAATCATTTGTAATTGCTGTGGTGGGAGGTGTTTGTGTGAATGTGTCTTGTTTGTTTTCATTTAGTATTTTATAAACCTTAGAAGCAAATTTCACATACATGAACAAATAATAATAATAATAATAATAATAATAATGCCGTGACAACAAGAAGACGAAGTAACGACTTACTCGTAGGGTGGCGGCTTCGCCGCCACCATACAATTTCAATCCATACCTGGCTACGCCGACCGGCATACACGCCAACAGCCTGGACGGAGCTCATCTACTCTGTCAAAAGGAGACCGATGTGTGGACCGATGTACAAATAAAACGCGTACGACATATGATCATTTGCCACAAAAATGTACACGATTTTACAAGTATTTTTTCTTACCACCGGCATTCAATGTTTTAAATACAGTAGACCGTCGTCCGGCGACATTTTTCAATTCCCTGATAGCATGCCGCCCTGATCAACAAATCAGTTTACATTTGCGGCGGCTTTCTTTTATGTGAGAAGACCATGCCGCCGGAAGACGGTTTTCTTTTCAACAAATGCAAGCACCGCCGGCGGTCGGTTAGCCAGTATGTTTAAATAAACATGTATATTTTTAAATTTCTTTTTTTTTTTTAGTCTAATAATATTTTAGAAACGTTTCTACGTTTCATAATATTTAAGAAAAAAATCGGACTCTTTTGTGTAATAATATACCTAGCTCTTAAAGCCAAATAACCAAATAAAAAAAATATACAAAAGAAAGTGTTTTTATTACCCCAGAGTACTTTATTTAGATCTGCATCGGTAATAGTATATTACATTACGAGTGTGTGAAAAATCACTTTTACACAAGTAATGTACAATATTTTTTCTACAACTACAAAAGAATTTTATCAAAAAATGTGAAACTGTAGATGTTATATTAAGATAAATAAATGTATCTAAATATTTAAAATAAATTTTCATATTTTTCTAAAACAAAAAATAACAAAAAGATTGCTTACATCGTGGGGAATTCAACCAGCGTCGCGATGTGGTCGAAACATGCAAAGTTAATAAAATTGAACGCTCTGTGAACTGAGCTCAAGCTTATGTCACATGATTTATCTAATCAAATATTTATATTAACAAAAAAAAATAATGTAGTTACTTTAAAATTATTTTAATAATTTTTTAAAAATGAATATCTTGAATCTAGATATAAAAATCAATCTTTACGATTTAATCATCAAATCTATTTTACTATTAATATGGACATTACATAGATCAAAATAGAAATTACGCGTTTGACATATTTGACAGCTGATGCGAAAAGAAGATATTCACACACGGGTGGAAAGTAGATTCTTGTCCACACGCGTATAATATAGGACACTACTCGTAAGACTACGTAGTGCGATATGTGTAACTTTCCTAAGTGGTCGTAGAACAAATAATTTTCACAATATTTAAATACGGAAGTTGGCGGCGTATGAAAAACTTTTTTATTATTAATTTTGGAAAAACCTAAAATGCGATCGTCTAATATTAAATTTTATCAATCGTATACGAGGTTTGTCAAAAATAAAGGTACTTTATTATTGAGCAAAATAATATTTTTTGACAAACCTCGTGTACGACTGATAAAATTTGATATCAGATGGTTGAAATTTTAGGTTTTAGATCATGCACAACTTTTTTGAAGTATAACTTTTTTTCTAAAATTAATAAAAGTTTTCCATACATGCCACTTACTTACGTAGACAGTTAGCGGATTAGGAAAATGTTTTATAGTTAATTTTAGGAAAATGTTTTTCTACATGATCTAAAACCTAAAATACGGTCATCTAATATCAAATTTTATCAATAGTATACGAGGTTTGTCAGAAGGTACTTTACTCTTGAGCAAAATCATATTTTTTGAAAAACCTAAATAAGGTGGTTGCATTTTCGGTTTTAGGCCATGTATAAATTTTTATGAATAACTTTTTTCCTAAAATTAATAATAAAAAAGGTGTTCGTCTGCAGTCAACTTACTTGTTGATAAATATTTCAGATATTACGTTTTTGTAAAAAAACGAAATTGAATTAATCATAAAATTTCACTTCATTTATAGAAACGTAATTTATATTTTCATTTTAGGTTATTATCACTTTTTTTTTATCAATTCAGAATTACAGTAATATTTTCAATTAATAATAAAAATTACGTGTAATTTTCGGTCAATCAGTGAGAAAAATAAGTATTTTTGAAATATTAATAATATTAAACAAATAAACGAAAAAAAGCGCTGCTTGTGAATAATATGTAGGCACATGGCGCGATGGGAAAGTTGGGTATGCATGACAGTCAACGTATTAACCCGAGCTGGGCAGGGCTTGAGTGCTTGTAAAAGTGCTTGAAGCACTTTGAAGGCTTGAAAGCCCTATGCTCCAAGCCCTTTTATTAACTTGTAATTGGGGCTTGTCAAGTCAATTACTTCAGAAAAGTGTTTGGTAATTTGTAATTGAAAAAATAATAATTTAAGTCCTTTCAATGAGCTTCAATTACTTTCAAAGACGTTGAAGCACTTTTGGGAGCTTTAAGCAATTTAAAAGGACTTGAAGCACTTTAAAAGGGCATAAAGAACTTCGAAAAGGCTTGAAGCACTTTTGAGAGCTCCAAGCACTTTAAAATAGCTTGAAGCACTTTGAAATGGCTTGAAGCCCTTTTAATGCACGTGTATTCAGTCAAGTAGATTTCTGTCTTTTTAACAGGCTATTTTTATTAGCTTGTTATGTATGTATCTTCAAAACGTCGGATTGAGCTTTATCCAAAGAATTTGTTTTAAGTTCCTATAACTTGTACTGTAATTAACATAAATTACAACCTTTTTTGGACAAAATTTACTATTATTTCTTAATTACTATAGTTTATAAAGAATTGAAAATTAACTTGTATCTACACTTGCTTTTAGTTTGCATTAAAAGAATATTATTTTAAGTTATTCTTGTAATAAACATAGGTAAATATAAACAAATAACAATATTGTTTTATTTTAATATTTTTATATGTATTATACAGCATTAGGCTGATGACTGAAGTACGTGGTAGATTTCTGACACTGAGAAGCACTATTTAAATCACTTTGAGGGCCTTATACTTGCGTAGCACAAAGCACTTTGAGGCCTTATGCTTGCCAAGCACTTTGAGGGATTTGTGCTTGGGAAGTACTTTCGAAAATAAAAGGGAAATTGTGCTTGAAAATAAAAGCACTTTGAAAAAGGGCTTAGTGCTTCAAGCCCTTTCACTGAGGACTTTGCCCAACTCTGGTGTTAACTCAAAAATATGGTTTTTAATAACGGTAACAACATTCAGAAGAAGAAAGCAAGTCCCGCAAATTAATAAAGTGATGTCTCGATGTTTTGCGGAGAAATCTGAATCAAATTATTGAAAGAATTGTGAAATTACAATAGTACATTGTATAAAACACCAAAATTATCGTATAAAACGATAATTATTGTAACGGACACTTTAATCATTTCTTATTTTTACTGGATTAAATCTTGAGTAATCAGTGTCAACATGTCATAGTGCATAATTCCGTATCATGTGACGTTTCAGTCCTATCCGGTGTTCCTCAAGGTTCACATATAGGTCCACTATTGTATTCCTTATTCTTTAATGATGTTACGTCCTGCTTTCCTAATGCCTTCTTTTCACGGATGATTTAAAGTTTTTTAGTAGAAACACTGGTAATAACTCCGCATTATAGTCTGACCTAAACAGGTTTGCTACCTGTTGTAAAAATAACGCTCTTTCTTTAAATATTTCTAAGTGCACAACGATGCATTTTACAAGATCCCGCAATCCTACTCTTAACTGTTACAGTATTGACAGCGTCAACCTAGATAGATCCTCGACAGTTATTGATCTGAGCATTATTTTTGATACCACAATATCTTAACAACCTTATACATTCCGCATAGTATGCAAAGCCCTCAGAATGCTTGGCTTCATCAAGAGACATACTAGGTACGTGAATGACACAAAAGCAATCGGGACACTTTACAATCGCCTGGTGAGAAGTGTCCTGGAATACTGTTCTGTTATTTGGCAACCTACTTACATGTCAATAGAATTGAAAGGGTACAACGTAAATTAGTAAAATACCTGCTCTTTAAACACCGTGTTCATAGCCATAACACATGTTATCAAATAAGATTAATGCTTTGCCGCTGCAGAGCCTGGAATGCAGAAGAAAACAGGCTTTACTCCTATTCCTGGCTAAATTAATAGGTGATTCTATCAAGTGCGGGTCACTGTTTGAGAGAGTTCAACTATTGGTTTCTGTCCGACGGACTCGGCAGTCGGCACACATCACCTTTGAATGTAAAAAGACACAACCAATTACGGACAAAGTGCATTTATTGATCGCCTATGCAAGAACTATAACAAATTTTACTCGGACTATGATATATTTAATTGTAATATTTTGGCGCTGAAAAGGTACTTGCAACTCCTGAATGTCTAAGTTTTACTTGTATCGTCCCGCGGTGTTGTGTTATTCTTCCTTTTTTTATATTTTTTAATTTATTTTATATTGTTTTTAACTCCTACAATTGTTTGTGTTAGGTTAGATATACTGTACTATTTGGAATTTTACATTATGTAAGTGCTACATAAATAAATAAATCATACACAGGAGAAAAAGCGATAATTGTGTAGCTAACTGGAACGACGTGAGACAAATATGTGAAAAACATGAAACAATAAAGGACAGCATACAGCTGTATTACCGAATCAAAAATAGGTACATCATTAACCTCCTAAAACCATCTCTAAAACAGTGGAAATATTGTTTTTATATACCTCTAGACAATTACAGGTATTCATAGAAATTCTCTACTTTTTAGCTCTGGTTTTTAAATCAGTATACAGGACAAATAACAAGTATTAAAAATTAAAAAAAAACCGACTTCAAAAACGTGCCGATGCCATTGCCACATCTTAACCAAATTTATATAGGACCACCCCTGAGGTACCCCCTTACTAACAAAAAAAGAATCATATAAATCGGACAAGGTGGTAAAGCATTATCGCTAAACATACATAAAAAATGAAGAGTTTGTTTTAGGATTTTCTCATGGACCCAATTATTAGATTTTGACCAAATTTATATGGGGCCTCCCCTGAAGTATCCCCTTTCTAACAAAAAAAGAATCATTAAAATCGGACACCGTGTTAATTATCGCTTAACATACATAAAAAAAAAATATTGCGACGAATTGAGAACCTCCTCTTTTTGAAGTCGGTTAAAAATCGGACACCCTGTTAAAGAATTATCGCTGAACATACATAAAAAAAAATATTGCGACGAATTGAGAACCTCCTCTTTTTTTGAAGTCGGTTAAAAAGTAGGAGATTTCATTCTCCAAACCCTATACTTTAAGCTGGTAAAAGATTAATTTCAATATATTTAGCGGAATTTAACCAATCGGTAATGGGGAACCCTTGCTTCTTACAGTAAAATTACAGTGAAACTGCGGCCTTAATAAGAAATTTTGAAAGTTAACAGGTACATTTGGCAAATTATTGAAATTATTACATGCCGCTGAAACAAATACATGTTTCCCTTAATTGATGGAATTATAAAAACAACCCTCAGCTAATACAGTGCATTTTTCTTTTACTACAGTCGCAGAAGATCACAATTAACAATCAAACAATAAATTTTGTCAAAGTGGGTACTGGACCAAGAAACCTGCTATGTTTTCCCGGAGCTTTGGGGACAATTTGGAGCGATTTCAAGCCGCAAGTCGAAGGTCTGGATAGGAACCAATTCACTTTGGTAGCATGGGATCCGCCTGGATATGGCGACAGCAGGCCTCCAAATAGACATTTTGGCGTGGATTTTTATGAAAACGATGCCGATTGTGCTCAGAAATTCATGGAGGTACGAATAAACGATTTGTGGCGGATATTCAGTTCTTGAAGCTGATCTGCCATTACAATAATTTATTTTATTTGTAGGCTTTAGGCATAACCAAATATTCACTACTGGGCTGGAGCGATGGTGGTATATCGAGCATAATTTTAGCTGCAAAATATCAACAAAACGTGGACAAATTGGTCATATGGGGCGCTAATTCTTACGTTGTCAAGGAAGAATTGGATAGCTGTGAAAGTTCGTAAAAAAATAAGATAAAAATCGGGTATTAAAATTAGTAAGATTTAAATTTTTTAGAACTTCGAGATATTAGTAAGTGGTCAGATAGAATGAAGGCTCCTCTAGTGGACATGTACACAGAAGAAGGATTGGTAAAAATGTGGAACCATTGGTGCGATACCTTTGCAGAAATATATAAAAATGGTGGGGATATCTGTAGTAATTTGTTGAAGGATGTGAACTGTCCCACTTTAATTTTACACGGGGATAAAGATCCAATGGTAGCTCCTGAACATCCTGGTTATTTGTTCGAGAATATCAAAAAAGCAAAGTATGTGTAGTTTGTAAAAAAAAGTTAAATAATAAAAAATATGTATATATTTTTAGGTTGCATAGATATCCAGATGGCAAACACAACATTCATTTAAAATACGCCGATGATTTTAACAAACGTGTTACTGAATTTTTATTGCAATAATGACAGCACATAATTATGAAGAGCCGATAGCCAAAATTGTTTTTATTATTATATCGATCAAAAATGATTATTTTTAAAATATTTGTTAGAAAATAAAAATTCTGTTGTTTAAATTATGTTTCTATATATATTTTTTTAACTGCAAATATCGGTGGAAATTTTATAAAAATACATGAAGTAGATCAAAAATTAAAACCAAATCAACATCGTACTTAAATAGTTTTGTTGAGGGCTTAAAATCTCGAAATATTTGATGATAAAAATGGAACTCCAGTAGAATTTAGATTGAAATCCATTCGAAAATTAACCTAAAAATGTGCCAAAATAGGCAATTTTAGAAATCAAAAACTTTTATAAAAAATCTGATGACTTTCCTGTCTGGTTATTACAGGCTTTTTCCGGTTATTTTGTAGAACCTGTTGTATCGCCCCTGTAAATATTCATTGTCAACGAAAATACTGAAAAATTTAAATTTTATTTTCTTCAAATTTTTCCATTATATTCCATTTTAGAGAAATCGTATATAGAATAATAATTCTACAGAATATCGCAAAAAAATTTTATTTTAACAATTTTCTTAAAAAATACTGCCGCGGTAAAGCTATTGCCTAGCATTTTTTATCAACTTATGCAACTATATTTATTTATTTTATTTATGCAGTATTTTTTTCTTTGATATTAATTCAAGTTACTTTTTGAGCGTGGTGACCGATAAGAAAACAATTTTTTTTCTTTTATTGAATAATTGAGAAGTTAATATTGTTTAAAATATTTTTATTATCTTACAATACATGTAGGTTATTCAGGAATTTTTATCATTGAAACTATAAGTTTATGGTAACTGAAATAAGAAACATAAGTTTGAGACTTGATATCCTCTTAATATCTGGAAATACTGCGTCAATGGTGGTCCCATATTTTGTTGTGGATCATTACTCATTTCCAAATTCAATTTTTCCGAAATTGTGTCATAGAATCAGTTATGAGCAGTTAGCAGCTAGTCTACACGCATACGTCTAATCGCACGCACACAAACACCGGGCCGAAGTCTGCTGAACTGAAACGACGTTAGACGATGCACGGCTTTCAACGCCGCACCGGTCGGAGTGTTAGGTTTATTTTCGTTACGGAATTACTTTTTCGATGTTTCGATTTTTTCGATAAAATCTATGCAATTAGTTAACACTGATAAAATAAAAATTAGTATTTCATAAATCTTGCAAAAAAAATTAATGAGAAGTTAATATTGTTTAACGCCGCACCGCTGTGCCGGTCGGAGTTGGGGGTGTTAGGTTTTTTTTTCGTTACGGAATTTCTTGATTCGGTCGCCGCGCTCAAAGCCCGCGATAAAAGCTATGCAATAGCTTAAAAATTCTATTTTTGCAATTATTGTTAAATTTCTCGAATACGGACCATTTTAGAAAAATTATGTAGGAAACAAAAAACATAGAGAATAACATTACAAGCAACTTTTATTTAAAGAATTTTCTTCTTAAATCGCAAATAACGAATATATTCTATAAAGTAGAAACACGACCCGTTATAAAGCACCCTCTAGATGTTCCGACTATGCCCAAAGTTTTATTAGTTCACCGCAGGATGGATTAAACCTTAAATTTAAAATTTGATGTTTTTCTCTTATTCCGGTTTTGAGTTTATCTTCAAAATTCGAAATTTGTACTTTTTCTCAAATATCTTGAATACGGTCCATTTTAGAGAAATTATGTATAGCACAAGAATTATAGAGAATGACATCACAAACAACTTTTATTAGAACAATTTTCGTAATTTTTTTTTACTTTTTGTCAATTTTTCTCGAATACGGACTATTTTAGGAAAATTTCGTCTAGGCCACAAATTGCAAGCAACATTAATTTTAAGAATTTTCTTCTTTAATGCTGTATACAGACATGAAAGTAAAGAATACGAGAAATTAATTATTTTCTCATACTTTTCCTGCATTATATTTTGTTAACTCTTAATTATATATAGTACAGGAATATTTATAGAAAGTTGGTTAAATTAGAGAAAAAATTTGGAAAATTAATCAATGTGACCTTTTTAAATCAGTTAACGAAAATGGCCCCAATTTCACGGAAAATTTTCCTAGACTATATTTAAAAAAATAGCCCAGGAATAAAATGAAAAATATCCAAACAATAGTAAAATTAAATCAAAACCCTTGAAATTAGAACTTCATTAAGCAAAGCCGTATAATTAAAAAATAACATATATAGTCAAGGAAAAAATTAAAAAATAGCAAAAACAGAAATAATCTAAATAAAAATATTTATCAACAAAATACTGTCACTATCTTATATAATAGTACAGGAAAAGTGGTCCAAAGGTAGATATTAGGGATGTGAATAAACACTAAAAGTTGCTTGCAAAATATACTATTTTTCTTTACTTATATATTATATGTGTACCAAAATAAACATTTACTATATTTATATTATTTTCTAATGATGGGTCGCAATGGAAAAGTCCACACTTTTCAAAAATGTATTGCGCATGCGCGACATTAAATTAACTAATTTGTCTGAATTTCTTACAAAGGCACAATATTGTTTAAAAAACGACAAATGCCCAGACAGCACACCAAATCCTTTGAATATCTACTGAACATCCCAATATCCACTGAATGTCCAGTCCATGGTGGATATCTATTTTATATCCATGAAATGTAATTTATAGACATGCAAATGTCCATAAATTATAGTAATTATATAGCAAATTATTAAAAAATTACGCCATTGTGCCTAATAGTACCGTTCAGATATTTAAAATTAATTTTTTAAGGTGTATTCAATATCCCATGGACATCCACTAAATATATCAAAGCCTAGGCGCGAACGCAAACCATCGCGGATATCCACTAGATGTTATTTGATTTTGCTTACTAAGTATAGATGGTGATACCACTGTCGCATCTACTCATGCTCGACCCGCCGTAATTGAGTTCGATCGAAATATTTGTCCTAATCACTCCAGTAAAGACTGAAGTCAAGAATTTCCATTTATTGTTGAAGATTCCTAATAAGGATGACTTTCTCCTTAGTGGGCAAAATCAAAGGCAGAGTGTTGAAAATATTTTTTATCTCTATTTCCTTTCGACGTTATTCAATAATCATTGGTTACTTATGAACCTCTACTAAAGATACACATAAAATATTTTGCTGAATATCCGAATATCTTCTATATCCTGGGATATAGACGGACAATTGGTTGGATATCCATATTGGATATATTGAATGTCCACAAAATATATTCTGTGGATATCTCTGAGATTTCTTGTATTTTCTGGAAGATACCCATTAGATATTTTGCTGGATATCCATTAGGATATCTTCTATATTCTGGATATAGACGGACATTTGGATATCCATATTAGATCCACGGAATATTTCTGATATCCTGTGGATATATTGGATATCCACAAAAGATATTCTGTGGATATCTCTGGGATTTGGTGTGTTGTCTGGGTGATTGCTGACTTTTATATGATTTAACAATATTTTCGAATTTTCATTTCATACCTTATTAAAATTAACAGGTGAAAAATATGACAAAAAAAAACCAAAGGTTGGAAGTATTTTACAAACGATTTGCCTCAAAAAACCGAAAATACAAATATAGTTCCCAGACTGTTTTTGAAAAAACATCCAGGATGCAGATTCAACTGTCTTCTATGCCCAAGGTCCACTACTTTTCATTGTGACTTTTCATTACTTTTCCGGACATGTCCAACGGACTAGTCCAAAAATTACTTTTCATTAAAACTCCCATCACTATATTTTCTAATTATGGATTTTTAAATGTTGCTAAATTAATGCAGTTTTATTTTGATCATTTTACAAATGAATAAGAAATATTCCTGGACTATATGTTTTTAATTAAACGTTATGAATGTTGGTAAAAGACCGATTTACAAAAGTAATATTTTTCTTAACCAAATTTAAGTAAACATTATCCTGGATTGTCATTTCTCAATTTTATAGATCAGGAATTTTTATAAAAAAAATAAATACGAAAATCTTCTCATTTTCCTGGATTATAATTTTTTACACATAATTATATATATCACGGGATTATTTAAAGAAAAATGGCAAAATTAAGATACAAGAATTAAATCCACCTTTGGAAAATGAATCAATATGTTTCACATGAAATGTTCCTAGACTATATTTTTTTACTCATAGTAGTCTCGATAATCGTACAGTTCAGTTGTTTGAATAAAAACGTAAATTTATGCCAAATATTTACAAAAATATTCCGTTAATCGAAAACGCATTTAAAAAAGAAATAGTTCAGGAATATTTTTTCCAAAACAGAAAATATCCGAAATAAAGTGAAATCAAATATAAATCAGAAATTTTTTTGATTTTAAAATAAGAAAAGCCGTATTTTTAAAAAATGAAAATTAACATTTTCCAGGAAAAAATAAAGTATAGACAAAATATGCTCACTTACCTCAAATAATAGTGCAGGAAATGTCGTCTAAAGGAAGAATAGTGATGGATACGTTAAGAGATACATAGTACCTTATTCTCGAAAAACCAGAAAAGTTTAAAATAGGATAATTTGAACGTTTTAATTTACGGTGATTGGTCGTGTACATTCAGGTGAAAATAGTCTTACCAAATTTCAATATTGGTCGAAAATGTATACAGGCTCATGTTACAGACGTAAAATTAAATATTAAAAAAAAGTCTACAACTAGTAATGTAAATTAAAACGTTCAATTTATCCTATTTTAAGCTTTTTTGTTTTTTTTTTTTTCGTGAATAAGGTACTATGTTTCTCTTAAATAAACACTAAGAGTTGCTTGCAAGAGTTTTTATTATTTTTTTTACAAACAATTCAGTTAAAAAAATGACAATCTAGCTCCTTTTTGAAAATACAGACCCGACTTGCGCGAAAACAAAGTTCATTCTCGACAAGTTAGTATTTAGCTATAAAGTCTATTAATGTAGTAACAATATTTAAATATTACCTCAATTTTAAATCTTCTTAAAACCTAATCTAAAGACAAATATACAAAAAAAAATATAGTAGTAGAGAAGAAAAAAGTTACGACCGTTGATTTGAATCGAAAATTTTATCAATTATTTTCGATTTAAATCTAGAATCGATGGTTACTTATCATTTTTTTCCTAAAATAACGAATAACAACGTAACAAGACTTCGTTAACTGAAGAATTTTGCAGAGATCAACGAAAAAAACGTGCAAAATAATTTTTTTTAATTTAATAACCTATTTACAAAAATAAACATTTACTATATTTTGCACCTTATTTTCAAAGTGCGGTTTTTAATTTTTATTTTGATACATTTTCCAAATTAACGAGAAATATTCCCAGACTATATTTTTTGTTTTCCATTACTAACGTTGTAAATAATGCTGGTAAAATATAGATTTACCAAAGATATCAAAATTGACGATCTCATTTCAAATTTATCATAAAATTTTCCTGGATTATAATTTTCTTATTCATCTTTATAACTTAGAACTTTTTATCATTAAAATGAACGACCGATGAATTTAGTATTTAAATCCTCCACCAATTAAGTATCTGATAAAAATGGGAAAATGGTTGAGTGCACAATTAAAACAAACTTGTGAAATATAAAAAAAGATGAAGAAACAGCATCTTTAAGTATCGTAAATGCTTTAATAAACAATTATTTCATTTTCCAAATTTATATGAGATATTCCAAGGCTATAACTTTTCGATGATTAATAATAAAAAAAGCACAGGAAATTTTGCAAATTAAGGAAAATTAAAAAAATTATGTATTCGTTAAAATAAGTTTTCATTTTAATGAAAATTGATAAATAGCCCGGTCAAAATTATGAAAATCTGGAAAATTAAACAAATTTAAAACTAATGTATTTGTTAAAATTAGAATAAATTTTAACGAAAATGAAATATAACCCGGTTAAAATTATGAAACTGAAAAATTAGACAAATAAACTTGTGACAATGCAATTAATAAAATATAATTCAGGAAATTTTATAAAAAAATAGAAATATAAAAGCCACATTAATAAAAAAAATGGTTCAGAAATTTAAAAGAAAAATGTCAAAAAATAAAGACAAAGTGTAAATTGCGGTAATTTCAAAAACTAAAACCAACATTCAATGCAGAAAAAAAAATAGTCCGGGGCAAAATAACAAAAATGGAAAATATACAAAATTTAAAAACCGCACTAAAATGGAATATCTTCAGTTAACGACTGACTATAAACCTTTGACTGACTGTTTTACCATCCAACGCATCCGCCTGCATTTTTTTTTGAAGACGAACAAACATACAACAAAAATCATAAAAGTAAATTTCGTGTAAAACAGACATTCTAGTACAAAAAAAAATTAATTCGACTATCTAATGCATTATTTCACTTTGACATATAAAAAATAAAGAAAACAAAAAATCCAATTCCGTTACGTGTAAAAAGCTACAAAAACAATAACGCATTAATTAGTTTCTCGATTTGACAACTTTGTTGCGAACTAATTTAATAAAAAAAAGAGCGAAACTTTGGTAAAATACTTGCTATGAACACTTTGTTCCCTAAATTTGAAAAAATAAAGTGTATTTACAATTTTTTTATTTTTATATATATGTATAATATGTATAAGGAACACCTCTAAAAAGACGTGTAGAGAGATACTGAAAGTACTACTTTTTACATTTTATTTTTGGGCAAAATCGATGTGGCAAATGTTCCGAAATTAACGTAAAATCTGTAAAAATCAGTATAAAAATTGTTCCCTGTCAAAAAAATGTCCTTGATACCACTAGCATTTTATTTTAACAGATAATACCAATTTATCTAGAAATTAAGAGATTTTCAGTGTAAACTGTAAATTTACACTCATAAAGTAACTGTAAATTAACATTTACAATATAACTAAGGTAACACTCTTAAGTAACTGTAAATTCATACTCCTAACGTAACAGCAAATGTACACTCAAATCGTAACTGTAAATTCACCTTCATAACGTAAATATAACTTTACACCCACAACTAACTGTAAATTTACCCTAAACAAAACTTAATTCACCCCCAACAGACCCCTAATTTTTATTCATAACGTAACTGTAAATTCACAACTGTAACTTTACGCTCATAACGTACCTGTGTATGTACACTCATAATGTACCTGTAAATTCACTCACTCACCCTGTAACTGTAAATTTAGTCATAACGTAACTGTAAATTCACACCCCTGTTAATTTACCTTTATAATATAACTGTAAATGGACACTTACAAACTGTAAATTCACATTGTAACTGTAAATTCACTCGACGTAACTGTAATTTTTACTCCTAAGTGTAAATTTACGCTCATACCGAAACTTTAACTCATAATGTAACTGTAGATTTACATAAATTTTTCCTCATAACGTAATTATAGATTTACATTCACAATGTAATTGTAAATTTACATTCAAGGTGATTCTAATTTTTACTCAAAAATTTACGTTCATAACGTTACTATAAATTCAGACACACAATGTAACTGTAAATTGACACTCACAGTAACTCCAATTTTTACTCCAACGTAATTGAATTTACGATCACTACGTAACTGTAAATTCACATTCCTAACGTAACTGTAAATTTACACTAACGTAAATGTAAATTTACACTCAACCGTAACTCTCATTTTTACTATAACATAATAATATAATTTACAACCACAGCATAACTGTACATTTATACTCGTAACGTAACTGTAAATTTACAAATACAACTTCGAACAGTGCTGTTCTTTCAGTGTTGATCTTTCAAAGTTTAACTGAGAATTTACATCGTTACGTGTAAATTTGCATAAAAAAAAATGTAAATTTACATGTACCTTTCTGTAAATTTTAACAGTGTAAATTTTAACAGTTTAACTTGTAAGTAGGTACCGTTTGTAAATTTTTGTATTATGTATGTACAATTAATATTAGTGGTTTTCGATCAGCTGATTTGGCTGTTAGTAAGATTTTAGTCATTTATTTTATTAGTCTTGTGTATTTTATAATAGTCCAGGAATTTTTTGGAAAAAAATGGAAACTAAATACGTCTGTGCCAAATTCCTGTAAAATTTTCCTAGACTATTATACAAAATAGAACAGGAACATTTACGAAAAAATGGAAAACGAAACTCATTAATTTTAGGAGTTTTAAATCACAAATTTTTAATGTTAATTGAAATAAAAAAAAAAAAAAATGCTGGTGATACCAAGTTTGTAGTTTCAAGATCGTTTTAATTTGGAAAAACATTATTTTTTCAGTAATAACCGGGATAAAAATGAGACAAAACTAATTGTTTTGAAAATAATTTCGTTTGAACGTTTGCCACAATAGATTTCTCTACACCAAAACTGGCAGACTTAAATTTATCATTTTGTACTTTCGTCTTAGCAGATGTAACGAACAGAATCACGAGGGAAATTCGATCTACGGGAGATTGAAACAACTACGAAGCGGCGTTATTCATGTTATTTACATCGAAGGGTTGTCGAATTTCGGTCCTTTAACCACGGTGATTGTGCCGTAGGCCTCTTCCTGCGAAAGTTCCAGAACGTGGAACTTTTTGAGTACCAGCAAACTGTAAAACTTTTGCGCTGCCTAAAAAACCGTCAAATGCTTTTAAAATCGTCCATTAAGGTGTAAAAGTCGACGAATATCAATAAAACGGATAAAAATAGTCAAAGTGCATAAATGGTCAAATAAAGTGAAAAAGAAATAAAAAGGACAATAAGGTGTAAAAAGAGTTAAAGACCAATAAAATTTGATGCAACAATCATTCAAGATTAATAAAAATAGGCAAGATCGTCAAGTAACAATCATAAAATATGAATGAAATTATTAATTAAGATGAGCAATGATCATCATATAAGGTGCCAAAGTTGTTAAATATACTTTAAAAATTTTCAAAGACGAATCAATAAGAAGATTGTTACAAATAAATTGTAAAAATCGTCAAAGACGCATAAAAATAAATAAGTATAGTCAAATATGAATAAAAACGGATATGGTCGTCAAATAAAGTCCAAAAATATTCAGATACAAATAAAAACTAGTATGGATAGTCAAAAATTAAAAAATTAAGACGTCAAAGTGGTTAAAATTGGTCTTGTGATGTATTAAACCGTATTATAAAACAAGAAATGGTCAAAACCTCAAAAAGTGTGTCAAAAAATTTCCCTAAATTGTCATAAAGGTAAAAAAAATTAGGTTTTGCTCGAAACTCACCTGTTTTTTGGTGTTCCTGTGGCACATTTCCTCTAAAGAGATTTTATCGTTAAGGTTGAACTTGTGCTTGACCACTTGGAACATTTGATATGCCCTCTTGTTCAGCACCCTCTCGGCGAACTGTTCTTCAGTCTCATCTGCCAATTGTTCTTCCGTCTAAAAAAAGAAATTAAAAAATTACAAAAAAATATCAAAAATATAAAAACTATAAGAAAAATAAATATTTACCGGTCCTGCCTCGCAATCGTAATCATTGTTCCATGGAGACTGCACCCTTTCCGACATATTTCCAGGATGGGCGCTTTCGTCATAGCCCATATTGGCCATCTGGTTCTAAAAATAAAAAACATGTGAAATAACAATCCTCAAACATCAGTATAAAAAGCATACTTGGTCGTATCCCATATTCTCCATTGGAGGTAGATCATTTTGCAGATTCTCCAAAGGTTCCAAAGGTAAATTGGCGTCGATGCCAGAATGATGCGGCGTCGGCGCGCCCATATGATCGCCCAGGAGGTCTTCGGATGTGTGGGCGGGCGTCATGGACGGCATACCGCCCATGTTTTCCTGTTCTTGGAGTATCGAGTGAACCTTTAAAAAAAGATATGTTCGATAAGTCTTCGTCGTTTGGCCTATATTTTCGTAAAACGAAATTAAAACGGACGAAAATGATATACTACTTTGCCAACATAGATGGACGAAAATTATTTAATACTTTGCAAATCTAAATGGACAAAAATTATCAATTTGCAAATCTAGTAGGTGAACATTTATTAAACAGTTTGTAAATCTAGATGGATGAAAATTATTATATTACAAATCTATATGTATAACATTTTTTTGACAAAACTATACAATTCTAGATAGACAAAAATTATTTATCACTTTGCAAATATAGATAGATGCACGAAATTTATTTAGTACTTGCATATGTAGATGAACCACAATTTGCAAATTTAGATTTTCGAAAATGTATTTAACAGATTGTAAAAGTAAATAGAAGAATTTATTTAATAAACGCCAATCTAACTGCACGAAATTATTTAAAACAACTCAAATCTGTATTGACATAAAAATTTAATAGTTTTGAGGACTATTTTTTAAAGAATTGCAAATCTAGTCGGACGAAAATTATTTATTAATGTGCTGATCAAGATGGACGAAAATTATTTTCATGTTCTTAGATGTAAACTTTTAAATTTAAGTTTGTTAAGTCTTCGTTGATTGTGACATCTCGTTTGGCCTACGTTTTCATAAAACGAAAAAAATACAAATCTAGATTAACAAAAAATGTATAAATGACGCTTTTCAATCTAAATGGACAAAATGATTTAAAACGAAAATCTGGATTGCCATAAAAATCTATAGTTCATAATTTTAAAAGAATAATAAATCTAGACGGGCGAATAATTACAAATCTAGATGGACAAAAATTGTTAAAGTAATAATGTAGATGGATGAAAATTATTTTATACTTTGTAAATCTAGATGGACTAACATTATTTATTTATCACTATCAAATCAAGATGGACGAAAATTATTTATTACTTTGCAAATGTAGATGGACGAAAATTATTTTATACTTGGCAAATCTAGATGGATGAAAATTATTAACATTTTGCAAATCAAGATGGACCAAAATTAATTCACTTTAAATCAAAATGGACAAAAATTATTTATCACTTTGGACTAGATGGACAACAATTGAATAAGTGATATTTCACAAATCTAGGTGTACGAAAAACAATTATAAAATTCTCAATCTAGTTGAACAAAAATGGTTGATCTTTTTGCAAATCTAGATGGACCAAAATTATTTATACTTTTGCAAACCTAGATTTATAAAAAAATTCTATAAAATATTAAGAAATTTTTTGTATCCATATTAATAGTATTAGGAAAAACAATTGTAAAATATTTCATATGATTCTCTCATTCTAACTTAGAATCAATAAAACAGAAATAAATAATAGGTTAATTGATTATATCTGCAGTCACAAAATCCAATCACACACAGAGGGATGAAAATTTATTTAATAGTTTGTAAATTCAGATACACTAAAATTATTTTTGAATGCCAATCTAGATGGACGAAAATATTTAAATTGCAAATCTGTATTGTCAACAAAATCTATAGCTGACTGTTTTGGGGACCATTTTTTAATTAATTACAAATCTAGATGGGACAATCATAATTTCACTTTGCAAATCAAGATAAACGAACATTATTTAGCACTTATGTACAAATTTGCAAATCCAGATGGACCAAAATTGTTAACTAACACTTGCAAATCTAGATGGAGATAAATGAATTCACAAATCTGTATGAACAAAAATTATTTAATGAATGCTAATTTGGCTAGATGAAATTATTTAAAATGCAAATCTATATTGACATAAAAATCTATAGGCAATAGTTTTAGGGACAACTTTTTAAAGAATTACAAATCTAGAAGGACGAAAATTTTTATTTCATTACAAATTTAGATTTGGAAATCTAGATGGACAAAAATCAATAATTAAATTCCCAATTATATTAGACAGAAATTATATTATTAATAAAATGACAATTTTAAATTGAATTTCTATTGGTACCATTAAAAAAAATCACTTTAATGACACTCCCCTATACAAATTAAAGAGAAAGAAAATAATTATGTTCTCTAAGGCTAAGTAAAAAAGACAATTCGAGTAAAAAAAAAATGCCAATTGACGACTTACTTGGTCTGCAGCCAAATGCGGCATCTCTTCGATATGTTGTAAAGGCGTAGGCGGCGCTGGATAACCAGGAGTCTGTGGATACATCATTCCAGGCGTCGAGGGAGGTAACATTCCCGGCGACATCATGTCCTGTCCCATATCCTGCCCCTGCATATGCATCATGGGCGTCATGGGTTGCCCCATCGGCGTATGAGATTGAGGATAAGGCGTGTGCGGGGGTACGGGCGTGTGCGAAAGTGGGTAAGGACTAGGCGGGATCGGAGTGTGTGATTGTGGATAAGGACTAGGGGGTATCGGAGTGTGCGACGTAGGATAAGGAGGTAATGGGGTTTGTGGGGGTAATGGGGTATGCTCCGTGGGGTACGGAGTAAGAGGTAAAGGAGTTTGGGGCATCATACCCATGTCGGGCAACGGAAGTGGTTCTTCTTGGACGTGCAGAGGTGTCTGACTCTGAAATTATCGAATCAATTTAAATGACAGTTTGTAAAACTAGATGGACGATTTTTTATTTTTTTCTTAATCTAGAGGGACAAAATTTATTTTTAACACTTTTCAAATGTAGGTGGACAAAAATTATTCCAATTTGGTGAAAATCTAGATGGATAAAAATTGTGTAAGTAACAGAATACAAATCAAGATGAAAAATGTTTTTTAATGCTTTGCAAATCTAGATGGAGGGTTTAAGTATAAATATTGCAAATATAGGTGGACGAAAATTATTTCTTAAATTTAAATCTAGATGGATGTTTTGGGAGTTCCATTTTTTTGAATGATGTAAATATACTGGACGAATCTAGAAGGACGAAAATTATTTGTTATATTATTCCATATCTAGTTGGACAACAATTATTCCAAATCCAGCTGGAAGTTTAAAGAATTACAAATCTAGATTAATGAAAAATATTTATTATATTCAAATCTAGGTGGACAAAAATGGTATGAGTCTAATACATGCAAATCTAGATGGACGAAAATTATAGTTGATTGATGTACTTACAGGGTCCTCTACGACTTTACGTTTTCTGCCTCGTTTGGCGGGCGTCGGCGGTTCGGGAACGACCGATTCTTCGTGATCTCTAGCCTGGTCCAGTGCTAGGGAGTCCGCGTCGCCTAGTACGCCGAAATCTTCCGTACCGATGGCTCGGAGCGACAAGTGCCTTTGATAGTTCTTTAAGAGAGTGGATAAATAATAGAAAGTTTGTGTTAATTCTTATAAGGATAAAAAAGTTTAGATTTAATTATACTGAAGAATAGGAGAAATTTTTCCTTGCTTTAAGGTAAAAAGAAGAAACTAGAATTAAAAACTGTAAAGTAGTCAAAATGAAAAATCTAGATGGACGAAATTTTATTTTAGTTTATAAATTTAAACTATTAACTAATAAATTCAAATCCAGCTAAACAAAATTATTTAGAACTGAAATCTAGCTTGACAAATTATTTAAAATGCAAATCTATAATCGATAGTATTTGGGACCATTTTTTAATAATTTTAAGACGGACGAAAATTATTATTATTAACTTTGCAAATCTAGATGGACAAAAATTGTAAACACGGCGAAAATATAGATGAACGAAAGTTAATTACGTTCCCAAACTAGATTGACAATTTAAATTTGACTTCTTACTGGTAGTCCCAATAAAAAAGAAAATTCACTTTAATAAGAAAATATTTTAGATTATACTAAAGAACAGAGACATTTTTCATTAGTTTAAGATAAAAAGAAAAAATTAGAATGAAAAAATGGAAAATTGTCCAGGAAATATTTATAAAACATCTATAATATCGAGATTTGATTTGTTTAAAATGACTTAAAATCTAGATAGACGAAAATTATTTATCACTTTACAAATCTGAACAGATGAAAATTTATTAAGTTTACAAATCTAATGGTTTAAATTTTTTTATTAAATGCCAATCTAGCTGGACGAAATTAGTTAAAACACTTTCAATTATTTTTTAAGAATTACGAATGTAAACGGACGCAAACCTTTTAAAATACATTTGTAAATGTAGAAGGACAAAAATTAATTACATTCCCAATCTAGAGACAAAAATTATTGAGAAACTAGGTGGACGAAAATGATTTATACCTTTGCAAATCTAGGACAATTTGGAATTGACCATTAAAAAAGAAAATTCAGTTAAATAAGAAAATCTTTAGCTTTTTCCTTAATTTAAGATAAAAAGAAAAATAGAAATAAAAATTGGAAAAAAGTCCAGGAAATATATTTTTTTATACTGTATTTATATATAGATTAAAACGATTCTTAAATTTTTTTACTATTTTGATAATTAAAAAAAAAAAAAAAAAAAAAATGACCAGGACCAGCAAATGTAACCGAAAATTGAGATTTTTCAAATATAGTGCAAGAAATACTTAATAAATTTGTAAAATATTTATAAAAAAATACAAATATAATTTTTCTCTTAGCTGCCCTAACTTTTATTTATTAAACGAATAAAGAAAATGTATCTTAAAATTGAGAGATGTATAACAATTAAGTACAAAACATTTTTATAAAAATTGCCTAACCTAGAAATTCAGGAAACCTGTTTAAAAAATCTGAAATGTTGCCCTAGCTATATTTGTTTAATCATCACTAAAAAGAGTCCAGACAAATTTGGATTAAAATCGAAATAAGCCATTTTCAAATTTTCACTAAAAAAGCAAATTTACTTTAATATCGTAAACAGACATTTCGAGCATTGATAGTACTGGAAAAGTTTTTAAATCGTCAAATGAAATTTTTCAAATTAGTTAAAATAGTCCGGACAAATTTGTTTTAAAATCGTAAAACGCCATTTTCCAAATTATCACTAAAATAGTCCGGGAAAATTTATTTAAAATCGTAAAACCGGATTATTTCGAGCATTAATAGCACAGGAAATGTATAAGAAAAACATTCCTAATTACCTTGAACAAAATGCGAGCAGGAATGAGACGAGCGGGCAGAGCGAATAATTTCTCCACCCCGCCCGTCTCCTTCCAATGCATCAATCGCTTGGTAGGCGGCGCCAAGTCCAGCGTCGTCACGATATCGCTGGTATCGCTCAATTGGTTCTTCATCTCCTCGCCGGATATGTTTTTCACTTCGTCGACGATGAGTTTCCTTTTCTTCCTGGTCTTTGTTAGACCTAGGTAGAATTCATCTGTTTTTTATGTTAAATTTATCGACAACATTCTCAGAAACAGCTTCGAAGGGATTAGGGGCTAGAGTTAAAAAAGGGCTACAGGGCGGCTAGTTTGGTTAGTTGGTAACTAATGTCGATGCTAGGCAATGTTATTTTTGTCTAATCATGACTCTAAATTAAGTCGCACATCAAATCTTACGAACCAAGGAAACTAATGAAAAATTAACATGATCTGTTGTGGGAGTCGATTTTCTAAAAGAACAAACCTATTCTAATTTTTTTTTTATTTATTAATTTTTATCAACTTTTTTATATCAATTTTTATATATCATTTTTTATCTATCATTTTTTATCTATCAATTTTCATCTATTAATTTTTATGTATTAATTTTTATACTTATATCAATTTTTGTATATCAATTTTTATGTATTAAGATTTATCTATAATTTTTATCTATCATTATTATCTATCGACTTTTATATGTCGATTTTAATCTATCAATTTTTATCTATTTTTTTTTTTATTTTATTTTACCAGAAATGGAATATTGTGCTTTGAAATTGGAACATTTTCTAAAATGCGGCACTAGGAAAATTTTTTATAAACTAAATAATGGATAACGTTTACAAATTTAAAAAATAGGGCCAAAAAGATTAATTCAAAAATAGTTTGATAAAAGTTAACAGATAGATTTTTATTTTAAATTAAAATATAGTTCGGGAAAATATCCTTTAAATTTGGAAAATAGTGCGGCAAAACATAATTCGTCATTCTTAGAAGAAAATACCTTCAAATAGTGTAAGATAGTAAAAAACATTCCGATTTTTGTCAAACTAGACACCCTGTAGAAAATACAATCTTGGAAAATAAATATAAATAGAGAAAACAGAACTACATTCTACCAGTAATATCTAAAAGTTTTTATTAAAAAAATTAGTAGGTCTATAATCAAAACAATAAAATATACAAGTTAGTAAAGATAGATACAGGGTATGTCCGTTTAGTATGTAATCTGTAACTAAACAACTGAAAAAAGGTAAAAAAAATATGAGAAATAAGAATTGGCTAGTTTAAATGTTACGGGATGAGTCCTTAAAGTGTGATAAGATTTTAAATGAAACAAACAGTAATTCGCGAAATTCTAAATCTACCTTATCGAATTTTTTTAATAAATGGTAAATATAGATGAAAAAAAAAAATAATTTATCAAATGCCAATCTAGTTTCAGTATTGCCAATTATTGTTCAAGTTACCACTTAAAACCATTTTGTCTCCTGACTATAGGCACCTATCATTACCTCCAGTGCTGGCACAGTTGCCTATTCTCTTAATCCCCGCCCTTGGCGTTTTCTGCATCAGAGTTGATTGAGCAATCGTCGACAAGTCTTTATCTATTAACTATCAGCATTGAGTCAATGGAGGTTGCCCCTCACGAGGAACGTTCAGTGTTCACACTTAAAACCTATTGTTTATGTATTATGTTTCAACATGTTAATTTATTGTTTAATATCAGTAAAGTGTTTTATGATCAAATACTGTTTCTTTACCACCAAATCCACTTCGTTAGAAGCGCAGTAAATACAGATAAATGCCCTAAACAAAAGTTTTAGGGCCACTTTAAAGTGTAGTGCTACTACACCAATCTAGACGAACCAAATTTGTTGGATAAATTCCAAAACTACCTTATGGGCGAAAAATAGGTATAACATTCCCAATCTAAATGAAAAACAGTATTTAACACTTTGCAAATCTAGATGGTTATCCAATATAAAGGAAACTAATCTAGCTGGACCAAATTCGTTTGTGAAATTTCAAATCTAACCTGATATTCCGTATTGAATTTTATTTTGATTTCACTCTTTTTAATGACAAATCTTACTGTACGAATTACATGCCTATTTAATTACAAATCTAAATTGACAAAATTTTAAACTTTGTCAATCTAGATGGACGAAAATTGTTTAAGTAACATCTTGCAAATCTAGATGGACGAAAATTATTTCACTTTGGTGAAGAATTAGATGGACAAAAATTGTTTACGTAACACATTGCAAATCTACATGAACAAACGTTGCTGTAACATTTTTCAAATCTAGCTAAACGAAAATTATTTCACCTAGCTGAAAATATAGATTAGACTAAATTTTTAAAAGTTTACAAATCTAGATGGACAAAAATTACTTAAGTTTTCAAATCAAGATGGACAATAATTGTATAAACAATTCTTTGCAAATCCAGATGAATGAAAATTATTCCACTTTGATGAAAATCTAGAATATCTAGATTATTTTTAACATTTTGTAAAAATGTAGGCAACACTCTGACGAAAACTATTTAAATCTTTTCAAACTGTTTAGATAACACTTCGCAAAGCTTGATGGACAAAAATGGTTTAAGTAACAATTTGCAAACATAAACTGACGAAAAATGATTTTTTTCCCTTTACAAATCTACATGAATTGAAAATGTTTAAGTAACACTTGGCAAATCAAGATGGATGCAAATTGTTGTAAGTACCACATTGCAAATTTAGGTGGACGAATATTATTTTTATCACTTGGTAAATCTAAGTCGACAAAATTTTTAAAACTTTGCAAATCTAGATAAACGAAAATTAGTTCACATTTCTGCAATACTAGATGGACGAAAATTGTTTAATACTTTGCAAATCTAGATAGACAAAAATTATTATTTATCCCTAGGCACATCAAGGATAACATTTTTAAAACTAGATGGGCAAAAATTGTTTAAATAACACTTTGCAAAGCTAGTTGGACAAAAATTGTTTATAAGTTTGCAAATCTAGGTGGACAAAAATTATTTGACATTTCTGCAAATCTAAAACCTTTAAAATAATGCGCTTTAATGACTCTCCTTATACATATAAAAGTAATTTTTTTAAATATGTTCTACATCTACTGTGTACTACAGCTTAAAGCGATTTTTCAAAAAAATTGTTAGTTTAAGAATAGAAAAGCATTTACACACTAAAAGGACAATCTGTATTGTTAATTAATTTATTATAAAGAAATGCTTAGAATCCAAGAATGTATTTTTTTATATATGGGAAGTTATTGTGCAGTTATTATGTTACTTTCGTCATAAATGACAGTAGCAAAGAAATTAAAAAAAAAAATACATTATAACAAAGCTAACATACTGCACAAAAATCCCCATTTTTATAAGGTGATAAATTGCAATTTTTAATTTTCTCTTAATAAAAAATAAACATTGTATATTTACGACCAAAACTAGAAAATTCTCAATTTTGAAACCCTTCCACCAAACATTTCACAGCGATTAACATAAAAAACAGAGGAACTTTCTTATAAAAATACAAAATTCCAAAACAGCTTATAGAAAGTAATAAATAAACGAAAAAAAAAACCTGTAATTATATGTCATATAAAATGTTTACGGTAAAATCCAAAAGGTCAAATCAAAATTGAAAAAAATCGGCGACCGAGTAAGGAATATTTTTCAGTAAATTGAATTTCCGAAGTTTTCAAATTATTTATATAGTCAAAAAGCAGCTTCTTGAGTTTTTGAAAATAATTTTCGTAGAATTTAAACTCTAAACAATTCAAATTGTACTATACAAAAAATTGAAAGTAGTTAATTTGTACCACACTGTAATTTATATACTTATCTTTAAAAAGAAATTTAAATGGAAACTAGCTCAAGCAAAAAATAGTTAATTTGTAACAAACAAGAATTCAAACCCAGACCCATAAAACCATTCAAACGACAAGTACTTAGTTCATTTGTACCAACAAAAAGTAAAAACCTGCCTTAAAAATTGATTCAAATAGAAAGTAGTTCATTTGCACCAAATAAAAATTTAAACCAAGATTAAAATGGCAATTAATTTATATATGTCATGAAATTCCTAATCCGACCCTGTGTACACACGCAACCTTCACATGGCAACCGACTCGTGATCGAAGCAACGCTGACGTGTGGAAATAGCCGGCCCGCGTCTCGAATATACAAGAATACGACGGAATGCCTGCCGCTGAGGCACTAGAAACAGCTGGAACGGCGAAGAGTGCCATTTAGTCATAGAAATGGAATGTTCTGGACGACCGTCTGGAGACGTCTAGTAGGAGTTCGACTTAATATAAATAGCAGACTCGTCGGCGGACAGTTTAGTTAAATATAGAACATTGTGATGAAAAGTGTAAGAAATAAATTAGAATTGTTAGTGTCTAAATATTATATAAATGAAATAGTACGTCTGAAATAAATTGTAAGTAGTATGTTTTTAAATAAATAAACTAAAAATAAATTAGACTTTCGTCACAGTAACAAACAAGAATTTAAATAAAGTACCATAAAAACGATTCAAATGGCAAGTAGTCCAATTATACTAAACAAGAATTCGAACAAAGTGCCATAAAAACGGATTCAGATAGAAAGAAGTTCATTTGTACCAAACAAGTACAAATTTGCCTTCAAAATTACTTAAAATAGAAAGTACTTCATTTGTAACAAACGAGAATTCAAACCAAGAGTAATAAAAAGGATTAAAATAATAAGTAGTTAATTTGTCCCACACAAGAAATTTAAATGCCATGTACCATAAAAAGATGAAAATATTGACATAAATAAGTATCAAATATAAAGTAGTTCGTTTGTACCAAATAATAATTCAGACTAAGAACCATAAAAAGATTCAAATAGAAAGTAGTTCATTTGTACCAAACAAGAATTAAAAACCTGTCTCAAATATTGATTTAAAGAGAAAGTAGTTCGTTTGTACTAAACAAATAAAAAAACCTGCCTTAAAATTTAATTTAAATAGAAAGTAGTTCATCTGTACCAAACAAGAATTAAAACCAATAAGGATTCTAATAGTAAGTAGTTCATTTATACCAAACAAAAATCCAAACCAAGAGCCATACAAAAGAATTCAAATAGCAAGTAGTTCATTTGTACCAAACAAGAATTAAGTCTGCCTTAAAACTTAACTTAAACAGAGTAGATAGTTCATTTGTCCCACACATGAAATTTAAATGTAGGGAACCATAAAAAGATGAAAATATTGGCATAAAAGAGCCATTATTACAAAGTAGTTCATTTGTACCAAACAAGAAGTAAAAGCCTGCCATAAAAATTGATTTAAATAGAAAATAGTTCATTTGTATCAAACAAGAATTCAAATCAAGATCCATAAAAAAGTATTCAAATAACAAGTAGTTAATTTGTACCAAACAAGAATTAAAAATCTGCCTTAAAAAAAAATTCTATAAAGTAGTTCATTTGTACCAAATAAGAATTAAAAATTGATTCAAATAGAAAGTAGTTAATTTTATTTGTATTACACAAGAAATATATAAATAGAGCATAACGAAGCCTCAAATATAAACAAGTTCATTTGTACCAAAGAAGAATTCAAATCAAGAGCAATAAAAAAAGTATTAAAATAACAAGTACTTCATTTGTACCAAACAAGAATTAAAAACCTGCCTTAAAAAATTCTATAAAGTAGTTCATTTGTACCAAATAAGAATTCAAATCAAGAGCCATAAAAATGATTCAAATAGCAAGCAGTTCATTTGTGCCAAACAAGAATTAAAAACCTGCCTTAAAAATTGATTCAAATGGAAAGTAGTTAATTTGTATCACACAAGATGTAAAAGCCTGCCATAAAAATTGATTAAAATAGAAAATAGTTTATTCGTACCAAACAAGAATTCAAACTAAGAAGTAGGTATAAAAAAGGATTTAAATAGAAAGTAGTTAATTTGTATCACACAAGAATTCAAAGAGTCAAAAAAGGATTCAAATAGCAAGTAGTTCACTTGTACCAAACAAGAATTCAAATCAAGATCCATAAAAAAGTATTCAAATAACAAGTAGTTCATTTGTACCAAACAAAAATTAAAAACCTACCTTAAAAAATTCTATAAAGTAGTTCATTTGTACCAAATTAGAATTCAAATCAAGAGCCATAATAAAGGATTCAAATAGTAAGTCGTTCATTTGTACTAAACAAGAATTCAAGTCAAGCTCCACAATGAAGGATTCAAATAACAAGTAGTTCATTAGTACCAAACAAGAATTAAAAATCTGCCTTAAAAATTTATTCATACAGAAAGTAGTTAATTGTATATTCAAATAAAGGATTCAAATGGCATGTAGTTCATTTGTACCAAATAAGAATTTAAAACAAGAGCAATAAAAAAGTATTCAAATTACAAGTAATTCACTTGTGCCAAACAAAAATTAAAAACCTGCCTTAAAAATTTATTCAAATGGAAAGTAGTTCATTTGTATCACGCAAGATGTAAATATTGCATAAAGAAGCCTCAAATATAAAGTAGTTCATTTGCACCAAACAAGAATTAAAAACCTGGCTTAAAAATTAATTCAAATATAAAGTAGTTCATTTGTATCTTCCAACAATTCAAACAATTCCATAAAAAATATTTAGGTAGGAAGTAATGCATTTATATTATACGTAGAAATTAGTTCATTCCTAATACACATTTTTCTTGTATTTTTTTAATAGTTTGTACAGTACAATGTTTCAAATACCATCATAAAACAATATTTAAATAATAGTTCATTTGTACCCAGTTTAAAACAAATATTTCAAGTAGTTCCTTTGTAGCATGTAATAATTTACTGTTTACAATGTTCAAATATTACTATACTGATTAAAAAGAAAAAGAATCTAAATCAACCTACAAAAAATAAGATTTTAGACTGAAAATTTCTAATATCTAGATGCCAAAAATTAATTTTTAACACTGCAAATCTAGATAGACGAAAGTTTTTAATAGCTTTGCGAATCTAGATGGACAAAATTTGTTCCATAAAACTTTGCAATTCTAGATGAACGAAAATGATTAATTCTTTAAAATTTATTTGGTTACAAAAAAAAAATATTCCTTACTCAATTCGCATAATAAAAACAATAATGAAAAAAAAAATCAAATGAAAATACACCAATACCTTTTAATTGCGATGCATCCACAGGCGCTAAGGCGAAGCTTTCTTCTTCGTTTTGAAGAAGAGTCGTCTGGTCGACAGTAGGCGGCGCCCCTGGAGGTTCTTCTGGGGGTGGTTCCGGTACCGGTTCCGGATGGACAGAATGCATTGACGGGGTGGGAGTGGGAGCGGGAGGGGGATGCACCGTCATCGAAGTTGGCGGTCGAGATCCGTCGGAACTAGAAGAATTTTTTTATTGCCTATTTTTTTCTTCAATATTCTGACTTACCTTAAGCCTCCCACCGAAGGGGGACCTCCGAAATTGTCGAGTACGTCATCGTCGTCGCTCTCTGGATGTTCCGGGATCTCTTGAGGGGCTGGTTCTGGAATCGTGGTATCGACAGGCGGTACTTCGCCCATAGGCGCATCGTCGAAAAGACCGCCCTCGAATAACCCACCAGCTAAAACGGTTTATAAATTATTGAGGTACATAGGACAAATTTAGGTACAGCATAAAAGAACATAGAATGTACAGAAAATAGTCCAGGAAATATAAACATAACATTTTATAAAAATTGGCAAATACAAAAAAAACGTTACATAAATTATTGAGGTACGTAGGATAAACTTAAAAGTTTCTGGTACTGAATTAAAGAACGTAGAGCATGAGCATACCGAAAATAGTGCAGGAAATTTAACTTAAAATTGCGAAATGTGATTATTAAAAAAATCTAATAGGTTTAGATAAAAAAAATTATTTAAATTTTGGCTATTTTTAGAATAATATAAAAAATATACTTCAGGAAATTTTTCTTAAACTTGAGAAATGTATATTTATTAAACATTTTTATTAAAATTTTGTTCAAACCTGCAAATTTTGGAAACAACCTGATAGTTTATAATAAGGTTTTCCTACCTGTATGTTTGATTAAAAAATTATTCAAATTTTGGCAATTTTGAGAAAAAATAGTCCAGGGAATTTAATATAAAATTGGTAAATAGATCGTGAAAATAAATCCATACTTTATATACTATTTTTTGGATAATCTAAAAATTATTCAGGAAATATTAAATAAATGTGTAAAAAATCTAAAAAGAGATGTAATTTTTTAATTTCTCTCCATTAACTGTTTTTATTTAGATGTAAAAAAATATATATTCAAATTTCGGCTAATAGTCTAGGAAATTTATTTTAAAATTGAAACTTGATAGGTAGCAATTATAAAAATTAACACCCAATAATGATTTTCTATGTAAAAAAAAAACTATTTAAAATATTGCAGGAAAGGATGAATTTTTCAAAACTGGAAATTTTGGAAAACAACCTGATTATAAACTGCAAGTTATCCTAAGTGTATTTTATTCGAATTTTGATTATTTTGAAATAGATAGTACAGGAAATTTAGGGTAAAATTGGGAAATTATATTTATGAATCAATATTAAAATTTTATTAAATTGTGAAAATCACACTTATTTAATATACTATTTTTGGGTTATTCTAAAAGAAGATTTAATTTCTCTCCATGTTGCAAAACAGTTATTCAGATTTAAAAATATATATTCATTTTGGCTAATAGTCCAGAAAATTTACTTTAAAATTGAGAATTGTTAATACAAAAAAAATACAAACATTGACACATAATAATTCTCTATATTAAAAACTATTTAAAATAGTCCAGGAAATAATTAAATTTGTCAAATCTGGAAACATTGGAAAACAACCTGATTATAAACTGGAAGTTATTCTAAATTTTAGATTAAAAAACGATTTGAATTTTATCTATTTTGAGAAAAATAGTCCTGGAATTAAAAAAAAAAAAAAAATAACGGGAAACGTATATTTATTAATCAATATTAAAATTGTGAAAATAACCCGTATATATATATACCGGGTGTTCAAATTAAAGCGAAAAAAAAAAACGTTTCAGACGAAAGTTTTATAGTTTTGTGGGGAAAAACTTTTGGCTAAAATCGTTATTTATAGCTAACCATAATATGGCCAACTTTTTTTTCGCGCAGCTACATTTTCAAGTAGCTGTTACTCAAAAAGTAAAAGTCCAATAAAAAAAATATTTCCCTCAAAAGTTTCTTATTTTTTCTGTAAAAAAAAATGGGATTCCCATTTAAAAAAACAAAGTCCACCTCGATATGGCCAGCTATAAAAAAATGAATTTAGCCAAAATGTTTCCCCCAAAAAACTATAAAACTTTTGCCTGAAACTTTTTTTTCTAAAATGCATATTTTCGGCGGTATTTAACTGTAATACTTTAATTTGAACACCCGGTATATTGAAGAGTTCAGAAAATATTGAATAAATATGTTACATATTTCTAAACAAAATCTATGTATCATATTTCTCCATACTAACTGTATTTCTTTAGATTAAAAAAATTATTCAAATAAATTCTAGTTATTTTGAGAATAAAAAATAGCCAAGAAATTTACAATAAAATTGGGAATGTAAGTACAGTAATTATAAAACGTTACAAAATTGGCAAATATAGAAATTCTGAAAATAAGCCATTTAAAGACTGGAAAATAGTCCAGGAAAATTGAATGTGTAAAATATTTCAAAAAATCTAAAAAAACCTTTTTTCTCAATGTTTTAAAAATTATTAAAATTTTGGTTATTTTGAGAATTAAAAAAATAGTCCAAAAAATTGTCAAATTTAGAAAGTCCAGGAAATATTTAAAATCGTAAAATGGATTTAATATTTCTCCATGTTGTCCTAACTGTATTTTAGATTAAAACATAATTTTTTAGAAGAAAAAAAAAGTCCAGGAAATGTAGTATAAAATTGTAAAACAAGCATTTATACGTACCGATCATATTATTGTCTATAGTGCCACCAAATCCATCATCTCTAGCCGATGACGTATCAATTTCCATGGGCGTCTCTTGCCGGTGGTGAGGCTGGGTACCAGAAGTCGACGGTATGGGTTCAGGATCTTTATCTAACCCCATAGGGTCCAATACTGGTTCGCTGAATAGTAAATTACTCTAAAAAAATATAAAACAGTTAATTTTATATTGATCGTTCTGGAATTATTTATAGTAACGCACTTGTTCCATAGATGGCGTTAAACCGGAGGCGTGCCTCATTAGGTCGGGGGCGTCCGAATCGAACCCCATGTCTCCAAAACCATCATCGTGGTTGTGGTTGACCATGGAAAGGCTGTAGTCTTCGCGCATGGTTATTTCTTCGGCTCGCGATTGGTTGATGCTGAATTGGGCTTCGATGTCGACGTCGCTAAAAATCGTACGTTTTTAAAGTTTTAATGTAGGGAAATGGGTTTTTGTATAATTTTTTTATCACAAATTCCGGAAATTTTGAGAAATAAACTTTTTTTACAGTAAGTAGTCAAATATACAAATTTTAGAAAATAATTTAATTATATACTTGAAAATAGTGCTAGAAATATTTAATAAATTTGTAAAATATTTATTAAAAATTAAAAGATAAAGACTCATTTAACTGTATTTTTTGTTTAGATTTAAAATATTCAAATTTTGGGTATTTTTAGAATTAAAAAAAATTAACATAATTGAGATTTAAAACATTTTTAAAAATTGTCAAAAATCAGAAAATTATAAAATAGTCCAGGAAATATAACCAGGAAATATTAAATAAATTTAAAATATAGAGAATTATTTTCTCTCTAGATTAAAAAAATATTCAAATTTTGGCTATTTTGGGAATTAAAAAATTAATTCAGGAAATTTTATAAAATTGACAAAATCGGAAAATAACCCGGAAAAATAGTTCCCGCGATATATTGAGTAACTTTGTAAAATATTTATAAAAAAAAAATAGAAAATAATCTAATTATATACTGGAAAATAGTGCAAGAAATATTTAATCTAAAATCTAAAAGATAAAGACTCATTTAACTGTATTTTTTGTTTAGATTTAAAATATTCAAATTTTGGGTATTTTTAGAATTAAAAAAAATTAACATAATTGAGATTTAAAACATTTTTTAAAAATTGTCAAAAATCAGAAAATTATAAAATAGTCCAGGAAATATAACCAGGAAATATTAAATAAATTTAAAATATAGAGAATTATTTTCTCTCTTGATTAAAAAAATATTCAAATTTTGGCTATTTTGGGAATTAAAAAATTAATTCAGGAAATTTTTGAAATTGACAAAATCGGAAAATAACCCGGAAAAATAGTTCCCGCGATATATTGAGTAACTTTGTAAAATATTTATAAAAACAAAAAAATAGAAAATAATCTAATTATATACTGGAAAATGGTAAAAAATTGTAAAATACTCCAGGAAATAATATAATCAGATTATAAACGGAAAAATAGTGCCCGCGATATATTGAGTAAATTTGTAAAATATTTATAAAAAAAAAAATTGAAAATAATGTAATTATATACTGGAAAATAGTGCAAGAAATATTTAATAAATTTGTAAAATATTTATTAAAATCTAAGAGAAAGAATAATTTAACTGTATTTGTTTAGATTTAAAACATTAAAATTTTGGGTATTTTTAGAATTAAAAAAAAAATAGTCAAGGAAATTAACATAATTGAGATTTTAAAACATTTTTAAAAATTGTCAAAAATCAGAAATTATAAAATAGTCCAGGAAATATTGAAGAAATTTAAAAGATGGAGAATTATTTTCTCTCTATGCTGTTTAGATTAAAAAAATATTCAAATTTTGGCTATTTTGGGAATTAAAAAATTAATCCAGGAAATTTTATAAAATTGTCAAAATCGGAAAATAACTGGAAAAATGGTAAAATATTCCAGGAAATAATATAATCAGATTATAAACGGAAAAATAGTGCCCGAGATATAGTGAGTAAATTTGTAAAATATTTATAAAAAAATTTTGAAAATAATCTAATTATATACTGCAAAATAGTGCAAGAAATATTTAATAAATTTGTAAAATATTTATTAAAATCTAAAAGATAAAGACTAATTTACTGTATTTGTTTAGATTTAAAACATTAAAATTTTGGGTATTTTTAGAATAAAAAAAAAAAAAAAATAGTCAAGGAAATTAACATAATTGAGATTTAAAACATTTTTAAAAATTTTCAAAAATCAGAAAATTATAAAATAGTCCAGGAAATATTGAAGACATTTAAAAGATAGAGAATTATTTTCTCTCCATGCTGTTTAGATTAAAAAAATATTCAAATTTTGGCTATTTTGGGAATTAAAAAATTAATCCAGGAAATTTTATAAAATTGGCAAAATCGGAAAATAAGCTGGAAAAATGGTAAAATATTCCAGGAAATAATATAATCAGATTATAAACGGAAAAATAGTGCCCGCGATATATTGAGTAAATTTGTAAAATATTTATAAAAAAATTTAGAAAATAATCTAATTATATACTGCAAAATAGTGCAAGAAATATTTAATAAATTTGTAAAATATTTATTAAAATCTAAAAGATAAAGACTAATTTAACTGTATTTGTTTAGATTTAAAACATTAAAATTTTGGGTATTTTTAGAATTAAAAAAAAAATAGTCAAGGAAATTAACATAATTGAGATTTAAAACATTTTTTAAAAATTGTCAAAAATCAGAAAATTATAAAATAGTCCAGGAAATATTGAAGAAATTTAAAAGATGGAGAATTATTTTCTCTCTATGCTGTTTAGATTAAAAAAATATTCAAATTTTGGCTATTTTGGGAATTAAAAAATTAATCCAGGAAATTTTATAAAATTGTCAAAATCGGAAAATAACTGGAAAAATGGTAAAATATTCCAGGAAATAATATAATCAGATTATAAACGGAAAAATAGTGCCCGAGATATAGTGAGTAAATTTGTAAAATATTTATAAAAAATTTTTGAAAATAATCTAATTATATACTGCAAAATAGTGCAAGAAATATTTAATAAATTTGTAAAATATTTATTAAAATCTAAAAGATAAAGACTAATTTACTGTATTTGTTTAGATTTAAAACATTAAAATTTTGGGTATTTTTAGAATAAAAAAAAAAAAAATAGTCAAGGAAATTAACATAATTGAGATTTAAAACATTTTTAAAAATTTTCAAAAATCAGAAAATTATAAAATAGTCCAGGAAATATTGAAGACATTTAAAAGATAGAGAATTATTTTCTCTCCATGCTGTTTAGATTAAAAAAATATTCAAATTTTGGCTATTTTGGGAATTAAAAAATTAATCCAGGAAATTTTATAAAATTGGCAAAATCGGAAAATAAGCTGGAAAAATGGTAAAATATTCCAGGAAATAATATAATCAGATTATAAACGGAAAAATAGTGCCCGCGATATATTGAGTAAATTTGTAAAATATTTATAAAAAAATTTAGAAAATAATCTAATTATATACTGCAAAATAGTGCAAGAAATATTTAATAAATTTGTAAAATATTTATTAAAATCTAAAAGATAAAGACTAATTTAACTGTATTTGTTTAGATTTAAAACATTAAAATTTTGGGTATCTTTAGAATAAAAAAAAAAAAATAGTCAAGGAAATTAACATAATTGAGAATTAAAACATTTTTCAAAAATTGTCAAAAAACAGGAAATTATAAAATAGTCCAGGAAATATTGAAGAAATTTAAAAGATAGAGAATTATTTTCTCTCTATGCTGTTTAGATTAAAAAAATATTCAAATTTTGGCTATTTTGGGAATTAAAAAATTAATCCAGGAAATTTTATAAAATTTGCAAAATCGGAAAATAAGCTGGAAAAATTGTAAAATACTCCAGGAAATAATATAATCAGATTATAAACGGAAAAATAGTGCCCGCGATATATTGAGTAAATTTGTAAAATATTTATAAAAAAATTTAGAAAATAATCTAATTATATACTGCAAAATAGTGCAAGAAATATTTAATAAATTTGTAAAATATTTATTAAAATCTAAAAGATAAAGACTTTAACTGTATTTGTTTAGATTTAAAACATTAAAATTTTGGGTATCTTTAGAATAAAAAAAAAAAAAATGGTCAAGGAAATTAACATAATTGAGAATTAAAACATTTTTCAAAAATTGTCAAAAAACAGGAAATTATAAAATAGTCCAGGAAATATTGAAGAAATTTAAAAGATAGAGAATTATTTTCTCTCTATGCTGTTTAGATTAAAAAAAATATTCAAATTTTGGCTATTTTGGGAATTAAAAAATTAATCCAGGAAATTTTATAAAATTTGCAAAATCGGAAAATAAGCTGGAAAAATTGTAAAATACTCCAGGAAATAATATAATCAGATTATAAACGGAAAAATAGTGCCCGCGATATATTGAGTAAATTTGTAAAATATTTATAAAAAAAATTTGAAAATAATGTAATTATATACTGGAAAATAGTGCAAGAAATATTTAATAAATTTGTAAAATATTTAATAAAATCTAAAAGATAAAGACTAATTTAACTGTATTTGTTTAGATTTAAAACATTAAAATTTTGGGTATTTTTAGAATATTAAATATTAAAAAATTCATTTTTCTCCATGTACCTAATTCTATTTTAGACTAAAAATAGGAGTTTTGGCTAATTTGAGAAAAAATAGTCCAGGAAATTTTAGTATAAAACTTTTAAAAGAAAAAATTATACGACAAAAAATTAAATGTATTAACAGGTTTAAAAAAATATTAAAAATTAAAATTCTGCAATTTTGTTTCTTAAGAATTATATATTAAAATTCATAATATTACTATTTCTTAACATTTATGTAATAGCTAAATAACCAGTATATAAACTGAAAAATAATTCAAGAAATATTGAATAAATTTGTAAAATATTTATAAAAGATAGAGATTTAATTTCTTTCCATGCTACCTTAACTATTTTTATTTATTTTTAAGAAAATATTCAAATTTCGATTAATAGCCCACAAAAGTTAGTTACTTCATAACCAGAATTAAAAAAAAAAAAAAAAAAATAGTTATGAATTTTATAAAAAATCTGACAAATTTGGAAATTAATTCAAAAGAAGATTGGAAAATAACACAAGGAAATGTTTAAAATTGTAAAATATTTATAAAATAACATCTAAAAAATAGAATTCATTTTTCTCCATGTTGAACTAATTAAAAAATTATTCGAATTTTGCTATTTTGAGAAAAAGAGTCCAGGAAATTTTGTACAAATGTAGAAAAAAATATTTGACAAAAAATAAAGAAATGGGCGTGTGCAGGGTTGGCAGGTTCAAATTTTTAAGATGAATATTTAGAATTTACAAATTTACTAATTTTTGATGTTTATTATAATACTGACAATTTTAATTATTTTTCAGTTTTTAGTTTTTTATTTGTTTGCAGGATTGTATTTCTTTTAATAAATCTATTAAAATGTTATTATTTATTTTCTGCTTGTATTTTTCCTTTAACTTAAAAAAATGAAAATTCGGCAATTTTAGATTTAAAAAAGCAATTAAAAATGAAAATTTTGCAATTTTAGGTTAAAAAAGAGGGACAAAAATGAAAATTTTGCAAATTTAGGTTTAAAAAAGAAACTAAAAATGAAAATTCTGCAATTTTAGGTAAAAAACATGAAAATTCTGTAATTTTGGGTTAGGTTAGGTAAAAAAAAAGTTTTTCTCAAATTGTTTGGATTACTAAAAAATTGACAAATTTGGAAAATAATTTGAAAGAAAATTGGAAAATAATCCAGTAAATGTTTAAAATAGTAAAATAATTATAAAATAACATCTAAAAAATAAAATTCATTTTTCTCCATGTTGTCATAATTAAAAAATTATTCGAATTTTGGCTATTTTGAGAAAAAAATAGTCCAGGAAATTTTGTACAACCGAAGAAAAAATATTTGACAAAAAATAGCCCATCTTCAAATTTTATAATAGTGATATAATACAAAATGGGTAGGTAGAGGGTTGGCAGGTTCAAGTTTTTTAGGTTAAAAAAAAAACAAAAATGAAAATTCTATAATTTTGGGTTTTTTAAGATGAATATTTAGAATTTATAAATTTACTAATTTTTCAAATTCATTATAATAGTGACAATTTTAATTATTTTTCAGTTTTTATTTTTTTGTTTATTTCTTTTAATAAACGTATTAAAATATTATTTAATTTCTGCTTGTATTTTTCCTTTAACTTTTTTAAGTAAACTAAAAATGAAAACTCTGCAATTTTAGGTTTAAAAAAGCAACTAAAAATGAAAATTCTGCTATTTTAGGTTTAAAATAGCGATCAAAAATTAAAATTTTGCAATTTTAGGTAAAAAAAAAAAAATGAAAATTCTGTAAATTTGGGTTAGGTTAGATAAAAAAGTTTTTCTCAAATTGTTTGGATTACTAAAAAATTGACAAATTTGGAAAATAATTTTAAAGAAAATTGGAAAATAATCCAGTAAATGTTTAAAATAGTAAAATAATTATAAAATAACATCTAAAAAATTGAATTTTTCTCCATGTTGTCCTATATAAAAAATTATTCGAATTTGGGCTATTTTGAGAAAAAAATAGTCCAGGAAATTTTGTACAAACGTAGAAAAAAGTATTTCACAAAAAATAGCCCATCTTCAAATTTTATAATAGTGGTATAAAAAAAATGGGTAGGTACAGGGAACAGGTTCAAGTTTTTTAGGTTAAAAAAAAAAATGAAAATTCTGTAATTTAGGGTTTTTTAAGATGAATATTCAGAATTTACAAATTTACTAATTTTTGACATTCATTATAATAGTGACAATTTTAATTATTTTTCAGTTTTTAATTTTTTGTTTATTTCTTTTAATAAACGTATTAAAATGTTATTATTTATTTTCTGCTTGTATTTTTCCTTTAACTTAAAAAAACAAAAGAATGAAAATTCTGCAATTTTAGGTTTAAAAAAAAACAACTAAAAATGAAAATTCTGCAATTTTAGGTATAAAAAAGAAACCAAAAATGAAAATTTTGCAATTTTAGGTTTAAAAATAGAAACTAAAAATGAAAGTTCTGCAATTTTAGGCAAATAAAAAGAAAATTCTATAATTCTGGGTTAGGTTAGGTAAAAATAGTTTTTCTCAATTTGTTTGGATTACTAAAAAAATGACAAATTTGGAAAATAATTCAAAAGAAAATAATCCAGTATATGTTTAAAATTGTAAAATATTTATAAAATAACATCAAAAATATAGAATTCCTTTTTCTCCATGTTGTCATAATTAAAAAATTATTCGAATTTTGGATATTTTGAGAAAAAAAAAAAATAGTCCAGAAAATTTTACAACCGAAGAAAAAAATATTTGACAAAAAATAGCCCATCTTCAAATTTTATAATAGTGATATAATAAAAAAAATGGGTGGGTACAGGGTTAGCAGGTTCAAGTTTTTTAGGTTAAAAAAAAAAAAAATGAAAATTCTGTAATTTTAGGTTTAAAATAGCGACCAAAAATTAAAATTTTGCAATTTTAGGTAAAAAAAAATGAAAATTCTGTAATTTTGGGTTAGGTTAGGTAAAAAAAAGTTTTTCTCAAATTGTTTGGATTACTAAAAAATTGACAAATTTGGAAAATAATTTTAAAGAAAATTGGAAAATAATCCAGTAATGTTTAAAATAGTAAAATAATTATAAAATAACATCTAAAAAATTGAATTTTTCTCCATGTTGTCCTATATAAAAAATTATTCGAATTTTGGCTATTTTGAGAAAAAAATAGTGCAGGAAATTTTGTACATCGTAGAAAAAAGTATTTCACAAAAAATAGCCCATCTTCAAATTTTATAATAGTGATATAATAAAAAAAAAATGGGTAGGTACAGGGTTAACAGGTTCAAGTTTTTTAGATAAAAAAAAATGTAAATTCTGTAATTTTGGGATTTTTAAGATGAATATTCAGAATTTACAAATTTACTAATTTTTGACATTCATTATAATAGTGACAATTTTAATTATTTTTCAGTTTTTAGTTTTTTGTTTATTTCTTTTAATAAACGTATTAAAATGTTATTTTATTTCTGCTTGTATTTTTCCTTTAACTTAAAAAACAAAAGAATGAAAATTCTGCAATTTTAGGTTTAAAAAAAGCAACTAAAAATGACAATTCTGCAATTTTAGGTTTAAAAAAAGAGACCAAAAATAAAAATTTTGCAATTTTAGGTTTAAAAATAGAAACTAAAAATAAGTTCTGCAATCTTAGGCAAAAAAAAGAAAATTCTATAATTCTGGGTTAGGTTAGGTAAAAATAGTTTTTCTCAAATTGTTTGGATTACTAAAAAATTGACAAATTTGGAAAATAATTCAAAAGAAAATTGGAAAATAATCCAGTATATGTTTAAAATTGTAAAATATTTATAAAATAACATCTAAAATATAGAATTCATTTTTCTCCATGTTGTCATAATTAAAAAATTATTCGAATTTTGGATATTTTGAGAAAAAAAAAAATAGTCCAGAAAATTTTACAACGGAAGAAAAAAATATTTGACAAAAAATAGCCCATCTTCAAATTTTATAATAGTGATGTAATAAAAAAAATGGGTGGGTACAGGGTTAGCAGGTTCAAGTTTTTTAGGTTAAAAAAAAAAAAAAATGAAAATTCTGTAATTTTGGGTTTTTTAAGATGACAGAATTTACAAATTTACTAATTTTTGACATTCATTATAATAGTGACAATTTTAATTATTTTTCAGTTTTTAATTTTTTGTTTATTTCTTTTAATAAACGTATTAAAATGTTATTATTTATTTTCTGCTTGTATTTTTCCTTTAACTTAAAAAACAAAAGAATGAAAATTCTGCAATTTTGGGTTTAAAAAAAGCAACTAAAAATGAAAATTCTGCAATTTTAGGTTTAAAGAGACCAAAAATGAAAATTTTGCAATTTTAGGTTTAAAAATAGAAACTAAAAATGAAAGTTCTGCAATTTTAGGCAAAAAAAAAGAAAATTCTATAATTCTGGGTTAGGTTAGGTAAAAATAGTTTTTCTCAAATTATTTGGATTACTAAAAAATTGACAAATTTGGAAAATAATTTGAAAGAAAATTGGAAAATAATCCAGTATATGTTTAAAATTGTAAAATATTTATAAAATAACATCTAAAATATAGAATTCATTTTTCTTCATGTTGTCATAATTAAAAAATTATTCGAATTTTGGATATTTTGTGAGAAAAAAAAATAGTCCAGGAAATTTTGTACAACCGAAGGAAAAAATATTTGACAAAAAATAGCCCATCTTCAAATTTTATAATAGTGATATAATAAAAAAAAATGTGTGGGTACAGGGTTAGCAGGTTCAAGTTTTTTAGGTAAAAAAAAAAAAAAAAAAAAAAAATGAAAATTCTGTAATTTTAGGTTTAAAATAGCGACCAAAAATGAAAATTTCGCAATTTTAGGTAAAAAAAAATGACAAATTTGGAAAATAATCCAGAAAAATTGGATAATATCCCAGGAAATATTTAAAATTGTAAAATATTTATATAAAATCTAAAAATTAAAACTATCTTTAGACCTTATAGTTTGTTTACTTGCCATGTTCGTAGTATATCAAGGCAAATATGAATAGTTTCTAGGAAGAGAACAAAAAATCAAGGCTGGCTTACAAGAACAGAAAGTGTATTAGGTAATAAATGAACAGAAAATATAATCATACAAAATTTATGCAAAATCAAGAAATAAAATAGTATTAACGAATTTAAATGTTATATCTCTGCCTATATACGAATTAACTCATAGTTTTTTTTTTAACACATTCTCTATGCTTTTTGATGGTTACTGTGTACTATAATCAAAGTTTTTAATAAAATATTGATTAAATTAAATTGACTTTAGTATTGGAGTCCTGGAAATTACTGTGGCAGTAAAGGTATCAACATTTTTTTTTTAGATTTGTTTGTATTTTTTCTATAACCTTATTAATTTTTGACATATTATGAACTGAAACCTTTAAGCCCCTTAAAAAACCTAAAAACGTACCTAAACTACTCCTAGATTTTCCAACCCCCGAGTAAATATACAACCCTACACCTATGCTTTATGTCAAATAGATTATAGTTTGTCATCAGTATGACCAATTGTTTAATCGCCAACACTACCAACAGTTTAATAAAAAATTACACATTATTTTTAGTTACCCCTGTACCTATATCTCTTAAGCAGGTAATTTGTATTACTCATTATCTCCAATGCAACATGTTTATTGACTTAAAAAAGATAAGGAATCACCTGTAGACTTTCCAATTCAATTAAATAAAAAAATTGCAGAAAACTTACTTCAATTCAGGCATTGTAGTATCGAAATCATGAAACACTTCTGGTAAAGTAATAGCATTAACAGCGGCTTCCCTGTGTTCCTCAGGCAAGTCCACCATCCCAGGCCTGAATGCCATTTTAATTTTAACGAAAGCCTCATTGCAATCAGCCAAAAGATACTTTGCTTTCCTTGAATAAATCCTCACGACCCCCAGAAGCAGATGCCCTGATGTTCTGAGGGCCATTTTGACTTTAGGTTGCAAAATTCCATCGACAGACTTTTCTATGTTGGTTTCGAATACATGGGCTTTGGTGAGCTTCTTGTCCCAGTGAGCAGCCAACCAGATTCGGGCCAAAGGCCCCTTTTTGGCGAGCACAAAATGTGCGTAAAACATTTTTTATTAAATATGAATCGCTTATCTAATGTAAAAGCTGAAAAAAAAAGAAGGCGATTATTATAACAATTCACTAACAGTTGACGTTTTGTTTTGCTAAACATCGCGTTGGCGCCGAATTAACCAAGCGATTAAAAACGCATTTTTATCACTCACCTGACGATTCTTTTATAAATTAGGTAATATGCGGTATACATAAATCCGTTTTCGTATATTTTTGAGCTATTATTTCCATTCCCGAAGGAAGAATCCTATGTTTGTACATGAACACTAAACAACAGTTTTCTCACATCAAAATGGCGCCTACCAGTCAACTGACCGCCTTTGCGCGTTTGCCAGATGTCGCTTGTTCCACAAACACGACTAACGGGACAAGTAAAAGCATTTTTATTATGGTTTTGGTTTTATTAATTTTAATTTGCGATTATCAGAAATACCTACAATTTGTTCCAGCTCTAGATTTAATAATTACTTTTGAAAATTAACCATACTTCACACCTATTTCATATTTATATCCAAATAGTAATAAATTAATTTGTTTTTACCATGATATTTATACATTTCTAATTGAATGTCAATATTTAAGGGGTTGATTTTCAGAAGAAAACTTGATATGCACGTATGTCGTAAATGTCTTATCTTTTGAGATACAAGGTGGAAACATTTTTGAAAATTAATAATTTTTTAATTAATATCTGTAATACTAGCACTCTAGATATTTTAATGAAATTTGATTCACAACTACTAATGTGCATCAAGAGTAATTTCCCAGGTAATTTTTTGATGTACCACATTTCTTTTTATTTCCACCAGTGGCGTTCGTGCGGAATCTGACATGCATATTTTGGCAAACATTGATAGTATTCACCGCCATTAATTTCTCTTATAATAAAAATTTAATTTTTAAAATCCCCATTCATTACCAAGCAAATTTGATTACTTGATTGTTTCAGTCCGACGCAAGGTTTTCGCTTAAAAAAAAAAAGAAAACCTTTTCTTTGCTATATTGGTAATTTTATTTTAAGTAAATGGCGTGCCCTGATTTTAATGTTAAGGGCCATCCTCCGCCTCAATTTTTAAGCCAAAAACAACGGTTAAGCTCGTTCGCAATGACAACTTTATTTTTCAAAATTACTTAAAACTGCTTGTGCAATGAAAGAAAACGTATTTCTAGGGATGTATAAGAACAAAATGATTAATTTTTTTTAAACATCGCTATATTCAAGATTGAAAATGTTGACAATATTACGTATTTGAAGGCGCTAATCATGTCTTTATAAGAAATAATTTGGAAAATCTTATTCTATATATCCCTGCTGCAAATCTTTAATTGTGTCCTAAAATGTTCTTTCTTCAAAAGAGTCAAAAAATAAGTTATTAATCTCGCACGGCCTGACCCTCTGCAAGTAACATTTTTCTAACCGTAATGTGGCGCCCTTTCGTACTGAAATCTATTAACAACAAAACTAATAGATAAACAATCTATTGACCCGCCTTCGTCAAGTGTGAAATTTGCAACGGCCCGCACCCCCCTGATAATATTAAGTAAGGGATCGGTTGGCAGATGACTCTTAATATGCTATAAAAGTGTGACAGAATATTGATTCTACTGACAGTTAATTCTAATCAAACTTTTAACAATATTAGACATACACGTTTTTACTATTTTAATTTTTTAATTAAATAGCGTTTGTAGGTCATAAAAAGTAGTTAGATGTATGTATGTAATTGGTTACTAAATGAATATATACTTGATGCATGTTGTACTTACTCTAGAAATATGTTTATAAAAGTTTAAAAACAATAAAATTGAGGTCATCAAAATGAACAAAACGCACTCAAAAGAATAAAAACTGTCAATGTAACCAATATTACGTCATCACTAATTTAGCGTATTGGAAAGCCACTGATTAAAATCGAAAATTCTTTTTTTTTTCTTTAAAAGTTCTCTTTAAACATCTTGTCTTCATTCACCAATCTGTGACCACAGGATGTCAATAATTTTTTTAGAAAACTGTTATTTTATAAAAAATAAACTTTTACACTTTTGTAAAAAGAACGTGCGAGATATTCAAATTATTTCAGAATTTTCATCAACCGACTTTAAAACGATTTCTTCAATTTCAGGAGTTTTTAGTTCAATGGGCCCGTTTTAATTGATTAGTTGGCTTCAAAGTACCTGTTTTAGTCAAACTATGTCAATTTGCAAATGTTCTTCTATCTAGAATGACTCTTAAAGCGCACTTGATATAATAGCCTAGCTTCTGGCGATCTGTCATCAACCAAACCATATATGTAATACATGTCTATTAATTCCTCATTAGTAATCCTTTAGTAACACTTTTCAAAATAACAATGCTATATATTTTAAACACCAAATTAATAAGATGCAAAGAGCTGAATTTAAAATCTGAACTGTCAAAGTAAATGACAAAAATTAATAATTCTTACAGCCACAGCCTACTAAAATGATAAGTAATAATTCATTTTTAATGAAGTCATATTTTTTTTTCATTTACATTTCCAAAATACAAAATTTTTATTTATTTATTTTAGTCTGACGCAAGGTTTTCACCTAAAAAGTTTAATAATTTATTTCTCCGTATGGTGATTTTGTCAGTATTAACGATATTGTTATGACCACCATGCAGAGAAACAGTTTTCGTTTTTTTTATGCAAATTATGCAGGTCAGATTCAGCACAAACGCAACTGGGAGAAATAAAAATGAATGTGGTACATCAAAAAATGCGTAATACCTATATACCAAATTTCATTAAAATATCTAGAATGGTATTATAAATATTATTAAAAAAAATATTTATTTTTAAAAATGTACCACTATGTATCTCAAAAGTTAAAACGTTTAGGACATACATTCATAAGAAGTGTTCTGCTTAAAATGGACCCAAAAATCAGCCCCTTAAATATTGATATTAAATTAGAAAACACCCTGTATAAAACACTATTATCTAAAATAAGTATATTAATAATTTGTTACGCTGGTAAAACCTACAAAAGGAAAATACTGATGCGCGTGGGTGAGAAATAACATTTCTAGTTTCGTACTCAAACAACTTTGCAACATAATAGAATATAAAATAATATACAAATTTGTTAAAAATGAAAAATAAAATAAAAATAAAAAATATTCCTAGGATATTTTTAATGTTATTGGTATACCTAATTTTTATTTGTTGATTCCCATTTGAAGATTGGTAATTTATTATACTACACGAAAATTTCTGAAAATCTTGTTCAGTTGTATTTTTGAGCGATTCACAGTTGTTATGTTGATAAAAAATGCAGAGGTGTCATCAGCAAAACTGATAACTTTTTGAAAGTGTGTTCAAATAAGTCGTTTATCTAAATATTAAGTATTATTGGTAAAAGAACTGTTAAAAAAGAACTGTTCCCCGAGGAACACCACATTTAATAACTTTGGTGTTAATATTAACAATTTGTTTTCTATTTTCTAAATAGAAATAATGTGTATGCTACTTCTCTGAACCCGTAATTTTCTAGAGTTTCTAACAATTTTTGATTGTTAACTGTATCAAATGCTCTTGCAAGATCGACAAAAATACACAATGATGGTTGTTTTTTCATCCAAAGAACTGAATAAATTTTGTCATTCTTGCATCTGAAGTTGAGGTTTGTTTTTGAAATCCGTATTGACTATCTGAAAAGATTACTATCAAGCAGACATTTTTTATTAGACGTAACCTTTAAAATAAATATCTGAATATTTTAGAAACGCTTAGATTAGAAAATAAAAGTAATAACTTTTTTAAGACCGACCAGAAAGTATACATTTTCTGAACAAAAATAAAGTTTTACCTACCAAGCGCGGTAAAAGCTTTTACCGTTCCCTGTTTTTCATTTTTGCGATCGCTGTTTTGATAATACAGTCTGCCTTGATTCAGGATACTATGGTAACAACGTTCCGATTTATTGCCAAGTGACAGTTCGTTGATTTTTAATTTGTTGTTTTCGCAAATTTAAAAATATGGATTTAGATTTTGAATTATAATATATAGAAAATGAAATTCCAGAAGAAATTTTGGAAGCAGCAAAAATGTACATTTAACATAAATACTCAAAAATAATATATTTGGTTAATTTATGCAGTTATATCCGTTATCGAGTTTTAGTTTTTGTTAATCACTTTATTAAATTAAATAAATAATTGAGTTTACATCGATGTGTCGGTCTTAAAAAAAAATATTGTACGTCACGCGTCCGAAAATTAGTGTTAAGCAAGCCTCCACCTGCAAAACGCTACTTTCCGGTCTTGTAACGTAAATTACTATAAAATATTGCCAACTTATATTCAAAATTTCAAATGATATCTGTAAAACTCAGAACACTCGTAAGACATGGCAACGTCGTAGATATAATGTTCATTTGCGCTTGCGCCGACGCGTTGTCGTTTGCCGTTGCGTAAGCATAGCTGTTTTCGAAAACTTTTTATTTATTACTTCGATTTGAAATGGAAATTAAAATTAACTTAATAAATACCTATTTCAATAGACAATAAATTACCTATGTATTAATCTTTTAAACAAATTTGGACCTTACATGATTGTCTCAATAAATTGCTTAATAAAAGAGGATAGCCTGTAGCAAAATAAACAAGTTTAATAGGTAGGTATTCTCTCTGATTGCAATAAAATACCTATATTTTAATTAAAATGATTTTAAATTTTACACCTTGGTTTTTTCTATACATAGAAAAAGAAGTTGCACATGCAAGCAGCTCAGTGAATGCTTTTTGAGTTTTAACTTTTACTGAAAATAATTGTAAAATAACATTTTACGGATTAATTAACATCCGTAGTCACTTTTATGGCCGCGTTTACTTTACGGCCACTTTAAAATGTCACTTTGTTTATCATAGGATAGGTACACTTATCGTTATAGTAATTCTGTATAAATTTTAGCAGTTAACAATAGATTTTTATTATAAAGTTTGAAACATTTCTTGCTTTTATAAAGGCCTCTTTTCAAAAAATTTTGGCTTAACGAAATTGCTTGGCCTAGGCGGCCGCAAATTTCTGATTCGGCCAAAAAATATCAACATTACGGACTTGGTACAAATAACTATTTGACGTTATTTTCAAATAAATGTGGTTGCATGATGCATCACATCCTGATCACATCATAACCTGAGAATATAAATCATAACGAGACATCTTCATAATTCTGAATAGTTTTCATATTCATAACCATAACCGCAACATGCACAACACATATGTGTAATGTGTATTGCGGCAGTTGCAGATATCGATATCGATATAATTATTTATTTTGAACAATTTACTGCAGTCTAAGAGATGATAACGAATTTTTTGGAAGGTATTTTAGGTAATTTGAAATTATTATTATTATAGACAAACAAAAGAAATATAAGTATACAGGGTAGCGAATAAATCTGGCATCAAGGTATTTTTCTTTGAAACGAATGATTCAAGTTACCGATACAACTATTCAAAATAATGTGATACCTACTGTTAGACTTACATTAGGATGCTAACAAGATGGCACCTTGAGTAGATTTTTTAGCTTTAAAGTGGTCGTAGTAGATTTGATATTTATAATACAATGAATACTTAAAATATCAAATTCAAATTAAATCATAATTTAGAGAATTTGTATCAATATTTATGTTGAGTTTTTTAATTTAAAATATTTTTTTTAAAACAGGCTAGAAATTAGTACTTTCCGGTTTATTTTTAGGTCAGAAAATCTCATTTTGTCGGACCGAGCCAGAAAATTATTGTGATATTCCGGTAAAAGCTTTTACCGGACTCATTTTTATTTACTTTCCGGCCTATCTTTAATGAAAAAAAATAATAAAATAGTTAATCTAAGATAGCGGTCAATTGGTTTCTATAGTAACCGAGTTTTGTATTATTTAAAACTATAAAATAACTTGACATATTTTGATGTTTAGTTGAAAACGTGACATTTATTATAAAACGGATATTCAAAATGATGCATTTGATTGTGAATTAATGGAAGATGAAATTATACCAAATGAAATTGTTAAGGCGGCCACCCAAGCAACGTTTGATTTATTACCGTCGAAGTCCCGGACACGATATGAACAAACATACCAAATTTTTGAAAAGTGGTGCCTGGAAAAGAAGGTAATAAGCATTTGAGAGGATGTGTTATTGGCATATTTGTCAAAAAAATCAGAAACGCTGAAATCTTCTTCGTTGTGGAGTTTATATTCGATGCTGAAAGCCATGCTACGTACCAGAAGAAATATCGACATAAGCAAATATTTTAAATTAACAGTGTTTATGAAGAAAAAATCCGTAGGGTATAAAGCAAAGAAGTCTAGAGTACTTAATAAAGAGGATATCGATAAGTTTTTAGTAGAAGCTTCAGACGAACAATATCTAATGACCAAAGTGTTGTTGAATATGGGTTATACTGGTGCATGTCGACGGGAAGAAATCACTAATATATTAATTGACGACATAGAAGACAAACAAACTATGCTTTTGGTTAAAATTTCAAACACCAAAACAAACAAATCAAGATCATTTATTATTGTTGGGGAAAAAGAGCTAAATTTGTATAAGAAGTATATAGCGCTACGCCCAACCAACGTTCCTCATCGACGTCTCTTTATTAATTACAATAAAGGAAAATGTAATAAACAACCTGTAGGCATACATACTGTAGGTAATGCTCCCTCCAAAATAGCTACATTTTTGAGATTGCCAAACCCAAAGGAATACACAGGGCATTGCTTTAGGCGTAGTTCGGCGACTTTGCTAGCTAACGGAGGTGCTGACATCATAAACTTAAAACGACATGGTGGTTGGAGTTCATCTCAAGTTGCCGAAGGCTACATTGAGGATTCAGTTCAGAATAAGATTGATATAGCTAACAAAATTTATAAAGCAGATATCTCAAACACAGAAATTGTCTCAGAAACTTATTATAATGTAAGCAGTTCAAAAAATCTCACGTCAACGAATAATTTTGAAATACCGTGTTTACAGATAAGTAATGCTAATAATTGTACGTTTAATATAACTATTCAAAAATAATGCTTATATTTGTAAACCAAAAATTAACGATTGTTAAAAAAAAATTGTTAAAATTAGTTAATAAAGAGTTCTTGTTATAAAAATGTAAACTGAATAATATGAAGTTTATGGTACAACAATGCCCGTTTTAAAAAAAAATATTGTACGTAATACGTCCCAAAAGTGCTTTTACTGGACTCGCAGGCTTGCAGGACTCGCCTGCGGCTCGCCCTGCAATTTGTCAACTCGTCCAGTAAAAGACCACTTTCGGGACTTGTTACGTAAACTACTATTTTTATGTAACAGTTAGAAAATCCACAATTAGGGATAACATTTAAAACCTATTTTTCGAAATAACTTAAATTTAAGAAGTGTTTATTTTCCTTAAGACGTTTACAAAAATGTATTGGACAAGTCATGAAGCATGAATGTTAAATTTATAAAGTGTTTATTATCCTTAAGACATTTACAAAAATGTATTGAATAAATCATAAAGTAGGTATAAATGCTTAACATTGACTAATAATAAAACTATTCCCAAAAAATATGTGACATCGCTCGTGGGGATCGCGAATAATTTTATTAACAAATAAATGGTGCTTTGAAATTCGTAATAAAATTGGTTGCGTTACTATGGAAACGTATTAATGTTGAATTGTCAAACTTGACACATATGAATTTAATTGCTCGTGTTTTCGAAAGCAAAACTGTAAAATGATAAGTGATGATGAATTTTCCATTCCTGGGACCACTCCAGAGCTGGTTGAGGCAGTGAATACTGCTTCATTAGAATTATAGCCAAAGAAATCAAGCGAAAAGTACGAATATGCATATACACGTTTTATGGACTATCGTAAGAGTAAAAATACGAGTTCTTTTTCGGAAAATGTTGTATAGGCATACTTCCTAGACCTTTGTTTAAAGATGAAATCTTCAACATTATGGGCCAATTATTCAATGTTGCATTGCAACCCTTGCAATTAAACAATGTATGCATTGAGGTTTTCAAAATATAATCCTTATAAAGAACGTGTTTTCAATCATTTATGTTAACAACTGTAAGGAATTTACCTTACAGTAAGGAAATGAATATTTCCTAACAGTTAAGAAATCTTGACTTTTTCTTTGAGAAATTTTGTTTGGAATGTCAAAATTTTCTATCGATGTGCGGAAAATAATATTTAGATAATCATCTTTTTTTTTAGTACGACTCTGTTCAATAACTTATTTTATTTTTTTTTATTTATTGTCTTAAGTACACTACAGAAATATGAATTCCAAATGGCACAGTCTTAAAGCTAAAACAACAATTGAAGTATAAGTATATACATATAAAAAAAAAACCGAATATATAAATATCAAAACTCTTCAGAAATTTTAAAATACATTTAACGTCTAAAAAACAAAGTCTAACACCATACAAGACAAGACACAACCTAAAATTTTAAAATTCGAGCATCCTCTTAACAGATAATAACGTACAATTAAAAATATCACAGTGAGAATAGTGCTTATTATAGTTGCACAAAAGCCTATTCATGAAAGCTCTTTGTCCATAGTTTGTACGATGGGTTTTCTCAAAGAATATAGTTGTGACTGTCGAGTATGCCTTAACGGAACAACGAAATTTACTTGGCATAACAATTTTTCACAAAATGTCTCCATTAATTATTTTGTAGAGCAAAAGTAACATTGCATCCCTGCGTCTCCGTTCAAGAGTTTGCATACCACAGAGTAGCAGTCTCGTTTCATACGATAAATCCCGATATGGAAAGTGAAACTTAAATAGCAAATATTTACAAAATTTGTTTTGAACTCGTTCAATTCGGTTGACATAAATAGCTTATAGCTTATAATAATATGTTATCCCCATACCTCCATGGTTATTCCCTATAATTTTTTGATTTAGGCGTGTACAATCTCGTGAAGCACAAGATACCATTACGTCCTCAAGGTCTTTTAAGTAGGAGTACATAAAAATGAAACGACCGCAATAAGTACCGAATATTAAAACACATAGTACCACATACCTTATAAGTAAGGGTGAGATTACAGAATGTCTGCAACTTTGCAGATCTGCAAATATACAGATGCAAGTATCAAGTTTTCGTATTCCAAAAAATATCTGCAAATTCCAATAAACCATAATACATTTTGCTACTTTGCAGATATTTTTTGGAATACGAAAACTTGATACTTGCATCATTAAGTCCGCCATATTTGCAGATGGTAACGATATGGCGCAGGTCAGAGATAAAGGACGCGCAGGTGATACTAATGGAGATACTGCTTCAGCAGTGGGATTCTCATCTTTCAATACGGCACGTGTTGAGAAGCCTCTATCTTTGTTCGACAGAACGCGATTCTTATGTAATGCCTCTCTCTATTCAACACGTAACGTGTTGAGTTCGCACATAAGAATCCCTGTCCTGTACACGAGAGTGACACGAGGACACGAGTAGCGACTCCTTTCCCTACTACCTCCATGGAATGAATGCATTAAGTGTATGAAATTGTACATTGTGCATTTTTGTATAGGACATGTCAAATTTTTGTCTAGGAATTTAGGTACAACCATACAATTACTATTTAAAAACGGAATATCAGAATTTAATATAAAAATACAATATCAAAAAATAAATATAAAAGATAAAAATATCAATTGACAGGATGTTAACGGCAACACATTTTACACAAGCGTGTAATGGTGGTTGTGATACAGAATTGTCTCAGAAGGCATGTGTAAAGACTTTTCATCGATCAGAAAAGTCAAGATGATAGTGACATTGAAAGAGAAGAGGTTATAAGCACCCGTGCTGTTTGTTGTTGTCAGTTTCGTGTAACATGGCGAGATATTCGCATCGTGCTGTTGAAAAGATTTTGAAAGTATTGTTTTTCGTAACGCTACTCGATCGCGCGAGTCTCGCCCTCGTGCCAGATCAATTTGCGCCAGAATTTAATTCTCTAACGCAAAAATCACCGGTCGACTATGAGGACTCAAAAAAAATTGTATTCGAAGTGCGGGGTAGAAATATTCACAGTGGCATTAAAATCAAAGCAACGAAAGATAAATCTGACAGAGATACTGAATGTGAGGACTTGAAGGTGCTGTATAATGTTAGTGAGATACAGACTTTCGAATTTCAAAAGGCACAGTACGAGCTGACAGTGCCAAAAAATGTACAGGGTAATATTTATCTGTGTTTGCCGCGAAAAGTTAGAGAAAACACTGGACAGGTCCCGTCTTTGTATAATAGCGTGTTTTATAAGTGGTATCATCAAGGACCTGGTGTTTTTGTGGATGTTACTTCCAATAAAACAGAACTTGAGTAAGTCCTTTTGCTTTGTTTACTTCCATCATCCATCACCATCAGTAGTGTCAACGTGTGTTTATGTAACTTTTATATTTTATGTTATAATTCTGTTTACTCAAGACTATTGCTGTTTAAATTGTGATAATACTAACCAAACACAGACATTATTCCTTATCATTTTGCAACATTATACCTTATCACTTTTCCATTCCTATTCCTTTCCCTCTTTATATTTTCTATTGTTTATCGTTTTAGTCACTAAATAAACATTTTTTTTGTTGATCTAGTTTTTAATTTAATTTTATCCATTCCTTTTCATCATCTTAACCTCATTTTTGGGTTTAATATTATGTTACTTGTAATAGGTTTTAAATTAGATATATGTGAAATTGATTTAAAACTGCCCGAAACCGGTTATCAGTTGATGATGTGAAAGCATGGGCGTCGGCTGAATAGTTGCACGGAGGGTATTTGCGAAAATTTACAAGGTATATTGAACTCGCAAATGTGTTATTTATTTACTAATTAACCCTATGGGGGTCGTGACCATATCATGAGGATGGTTGGTACAATTAAAGGTTTTATTATCTTTAAAGTTCCAGATTGTATCCAAAAGAGTATCATTATCTTCAAAGTTCCAGATTGTATCCAAAAGAGTATCTAAAGATATTCAAAAGACGATCCTTAACGGGCAACATAATTAACACAGATTTACCCTAAGGAACGTGCTGTACTTACTGAAATAGATATACCTACTGTTAGGTGTTTTTGCGAGTATTTTCTTTAAATAACTTAAATTTTATTTTGTTTATATTTATCATGAATACCTGGATGCTAGTGACCCTTAATATTTTTGATCAAAAGAGCTAATATTTCGGGAATTACTCGCTTCGGAGTACTTAATAATATATGCCTTTGAAACGAACCTTTTTGTATTTGAAGATGGCAGTAATGTTTGAACTGTAATCGTTGGGTTTTTTTGTTTTTTGGTGCTCCGCTTCGCCAGAAAAACATGTTTGGATCATCCAAGAGCTCCAGTCATCAGGTGAATATATCTGATACATTTGGCTTTTTCAGATGTTTCCTTATTAAAAATTAATAGTTTTTGTAACGCCGCCCATTGAGGTAAGGTTCCCTTGCATCCAGTGTTTACGCCTACATTAGTGACATACCAAGGGATCCAAATTACAATAATGGCAACTTCAGTTGACCATTCAAGTTTCTTAACAAGAAGTACTGTCTTAGAAACGTTATTTACATTCCAACATGTGACGAGCTAGGATATGATATCTAGGACAATTCCAATTGGGGACGTTTGGTAAATGAAGTAAATTTCATGTTGTATATATTTATAGAAAAGAAGAAATGCCACGTTGGAGATTAGAAATGTTAACAGAAAATTGATTTTGAAAAAGACATGGATCTAAGTTTAAGAAAAGTTTAACAATTTCTATTATTGTTAGATAGTGTTGCTTTAAAAACTTTCACCACTGAGACCCATGTATTCTTTGGTAAAATTTCAGTAATACTACTGTGAATAATCCCTTGATTTAGATGGATTGTGAGATATTACTATGAAATTAGTAACATCTCAGGTCTTCAAGATAATCATAATAGCATATTTTCGAGATAATTTAGCTGGTTCCTGATCAATTTTTTATACTGACATCGGATACGCCTGTTTCTGCACGAAATCAGAAGCATAGATCACAATAATCGGCATACCTATCTTATTAAGTAAATAAAATATTTTTTAGGTGAAACTTACTAGGCGCTAGGTCTAGGTACATTAGGTAGGGGATATCTTGAAAACTGTCTCTTTCAGTACTCAAAAAAAGTACCTGTTATGTTCCCTGAGGCCTCCATGTTTCTTGCACTATTAAGATTGGTGTTTTGAGTCTAGAATATAGTAATGGAACCAAGTTTTATCGATAGTAGCAGAACGAGGCACTATATCAACTTGGTCTTTGTTTAAAAATCTAGCGTTTTTACATGTTTTTGATTGAAAAAACAAATAATCGATTTATGCGTCTTATTCAGTCAGCTCGATCTGTCAAACTAAACGTCAGAAATCAACAGAACAATCTGACCATAATGAAAAATTTGTTAAGGTTTGTTCCAACAGCTCCATTCTGATGAGTCTCTGACTCGTGCATGGATGCATTCGTAAACTAATCACTGCGCATGTCAGTCCGTTTATTCGTCCGTTGTTTAATCAGCGACTTGTACTTGTTGGAACGCAAAATGCAATGGAATTGGACAAACCAAACACATGTTTGGTGGATTGTTATTTTAAACATTATTTAAAATACAACAAAATAACTGTATTTAGCTGTCTCGAACGCTCTATGCAAATGTATAATTTTGAAACCTTAAGATGTTTTTTTTATTAAAAATAAGTACGTATTTTATATAAAAAACCGTACACACGATAAAAACAAAAATTATTCATTTCAATTGAAAGAAACAAGCCCAAGCCACTCCAAGCTATCTTAAAATCCCAACAATTACAAACAAATTCTAGCTTCGTTCGCGGTAACAATCCTGAACTGATTCAGAAGTATTAATTCATACTTTGAGCGCATGCCCGAATCATTATCGATTCTGAATTTTTAACGCGCGCGCAATCCCTATTATATCTCGGTGTTTCAGGTATAGACAAGCGGTTCAAAACCAATAATTATTTTACCGCGAACGCAGAGAACCAATAGTTCAGTTCTTTTTGTTCCACGAACGTTTTTTAACTACTGCGCATGCGAAATCGTTACTGTTAGGTAATAATTCGATTCAGGATTCTTAACGCGAACAAAGCTAATACGAACGAGAAGAGACGTTCAAATGCGCATGTGCTGATAAATTGTACAAGCGATGAAGCTCTGATCGTTTTGACAATCCGCCGACTCATTCATGTTCGAATCAGAAAATTCGTTGAAACGTTTTACTGACAGTTCATGGGATTATCCGTGGCTTTGTAGGAAGGGACTGTTTTCAATGCGCATGCGTCTGACGTCCTTCTGATGATCAGATTCGCTGTTGGAACAAACCTTTATTTACACTTATGGGCGATGGTAGTTCCCATCAAATTATCCTCGTATTAAGTTACTGTGGCGCATATTATTTGCGAGTTTATATAAAAAAAATATTGTTAAATTATTTGCGTATATGAGTGTTTAATACTGCAATGAATAACTGCACGAAATACATATTATTATATATTTATTTAAAATTAGGTAGACCCTATAAGCTACGATTTTATTAGATTTGAACTATACAGTCCATCGATTCACTCCATAAGGTGAAGAGCTCGTTCAGACTCACATCTGGCCTCTCCTCTTTTGTCTAATGTGAAGATGAAGAGTGAAATGACCTAATTAAATCTTTCCTTTAGATCAGAAGTGTGCGTTTTTGCATGCAGGTCATATCGGAGCGTGTAGGGCCTCCATTAGACAGAAAAAGTTTACACACAAAACGCTAAAATGACAAGTTGATTGTAGAAGAGCTCTTTTATCCCATTCTAATGACTATGTCAATAATTTAATACCAAAATCTTTAAAATAAACAAAAATTGTCTATAGGAACGAATCAAATATTAGCACATAACTTAATGATATTAAACGAATTAATATTTGAGAAAAGTTCAATATTGAATAGGTATAGTAATTTGTATATCCTTATATGTAAAGCTCAATATATAAATATGTATAGATTTAGGGGATATAACGCAATATAATACCATAATAGTCTTCTGTAGTAACCCCAAAAACTGACGTATTTGACAGAACTGATACGTAAGTCGGCATAATTTGGTAAAACTGTCATTAGCATTCAATTTTTATTTCTAACAGGATACCTATTCTCTAACTCATGGGAGCACTCCCACACTCCCATGCTCCCATGCCAACGTTGCCAAGTCGACAGAATAACTTTGATCTACTATTTAAGGACCGATCCACCGTTGTGTAAAACGAAGTTTAAAATGACATTTTTACATTAACAATGTCATTTTAATCTCCGTTTAACTCAACGGTGGAATCGGCCCTTAGTAGTTCAAATTTGCTTTGTGATAAATACGGACCTAATCTGGCAAGTCCGCAATTATCCCTCCCATAGTATAAAATCTGACCTTACTACGCATGTACCTGGGCTAAAAATGAGTAAGCACGATATACCCACCTAAGAGTAAGAGAGCAAAATATATGCGAGCACTCCCATGGGAGCGCTCCCATGACTTAGTGAATAGCTATCCAGATCGCTTGAGATAGACTGAAAATCGGCCTGATAAAACCGGTTTTTAAAAGTACTTACTGAAGTATGAGTTTCGCAGGTATTAGATTGTTCCAGGTAGTGCAATCTTTCATCAAATTTTGTTAATTAGCATACGAGACAAATCGCTAGGTTTGAGATAATAAATAATTTAATATTGCTAGATCAGGTGGTTTGTTTGATTAATTTAATTAAACCGGTAAATAAATTTTGACAGAATTTTGGTACTTTAAACAATTATTACCCATGACACAATAAAAAGAAGGTAGATTGATACTGTACGTCACGGTGACGTAATATGGAGGAAGGCATGGATTTTACGAATTTGACGTATCAGCTGATGAAAATAAAACACGAAAATAAATTTTAATACGTCATGTGGTAACTCGAAGAGATTTCGTCGACTAAGGATGAGATTACAGTACGTCTGCAACTTTGCATATCTGCAAATGTGGCAGCAACTTTGCAGATCTGCAAATGTGGCGGACATACAGATGCAAGTTTTCGTATTCCAAAAAATATCTGTAATTTCGCAATATTTATTGTGGCTTATTACCCCCAATAACACTAAACCCAAATCCACCCTTAAGGAGGTTACAACATCCTACAAACTTGCAGATTGACAATTTTTACTTTAATTGAAGTCTTCTGTTCCTTTTCATTGAATACAGTTCGTGGTGTCAGATTATCGAGTTTTTAAACATAGTAATGGATTTGGGTTTAGTGTTATAAATCCACCATATTTGCAGATC